TTCCTCCCCACCCACAAACAGCTGCCCCTTGGCCACTGCCCAGGCCTATGGGCACGCACACCAGCAGTGCCACTGACCCTTGGTATGTGGGCCCAGGGAGCAATTCTGCATACGGCCAAGAAATAGGCTTTGTTCTTTGGACAGTGAATTCTAGTTCCCTGGTGTCTGGCATAGCCTAGAAAATGAGGGGGTGACAGTCTCCAGGTGGCCATAGCTCCTTGACCTCAAGAACATCTCATCTGTAGGGAAGAACGTGGCTAGAGCCCAGTCAGAGTGAGAGCCTTTAAAGCTTTCTTACATGGGCCTAAGAGTGGTGCTCCTAGGAAGCAAGCCTCAAAGTCCTGAACTACTGCTCCCCCCATGTCTTTTCTTTGTATCCTATACTTAGACCCCAAAACAACTTAAAATGAATTTTCCCTACATAGGTTACATTGATCTGTTTGTTACATTGGTTAATTTGTCTCTTCTTAGGACAAAATCATGCTTCCTTAAGCTTTGTACTTACATACTATACAGTGTTGTGCTTACATACTATAACTTTGATAGTCAGGTTTTGATACCTGGCAGTGTTAAGTCCCTCCAACTTTCTTCAAGCTCAACTTTGCTATTCTTGATCCTTTGCATTTCTACATAAATTTTAGAATTACGTTGTCAATTTCCATGAATAGCTCTGCAGAGATTTTGTTTGGAATTATATTGAATCTATAGATCAATTTGACACTTAACAATTTTGAGTCTCAATCATGAACATGGTACATTCTTTCATTATTTTGTGCTTTTAAAATTTCTCTCAATTTTGCTTTGTAGTTTTCAGTGCAAAGGTTATGCACAGCTTTCATTAGATAGTCCTACTTATTTCACATTTACATTGGTGCTACTGTAAATTGTATCTTTTTAAGATTTCTTTTCCTATTTTTTTGTTGTTGATATATAGAAATACAATTTATATCTGTACATTTACCTTGTATCTAGTGACTTTCCTATGTTCAATTATTCATTCAAATTGCTTATAAATTCTTCAGGATCCACTATATATTATAGAACCATGTTATATGTGAAAATGAGAGTTTAAAAAAAAATTTTCCCTTACTAAATAAGTTATTTGATGGTACTAGAAATTGAATTGTTTTCTTAATTTTTTTCTTGGGTTGTTTTGGATTGTTCCAAAAGTTTGCTGAGTTTGTTTATTAGTTCTAACATTTTGTGTGTATGTATGCGTGGGTAGTCCTTGGGGGTTTTTTTGGTAGGATTTTCTACTTATATGTTATCTGTGAATAGACTCAATCTCTTTAATAGGTGTGAAATTATTCAAATTTTGTATTTCTGTGTCATTTTTGGTAAACTGAATTTTTCAAGGAAGTAGTCTATTTTGTCCACATGTCCAATTCATTTGCAAAAATTGTTTATAGGATCTTATTATTTTTTAAATCTTCAGGATCTCTAGTGATGTTTCTTTTTTCATACAAAAATTTGTTTAAAATATTTTTAAATCTTCTTGCATCTGACATTTTCATTTTAATATTGATTATTCTTCCTTTCATTTGTTGGTCTTGAATGCTTAACAATTTAAAATGTTTTTCTTAATATACCTCCCTTGCCTTTGTTGATTTCTTTATCGTACATTTATTTTTTACTTCCTTGATTTCTTCCCTTATGATTTATTTCCTTCTACTTACTTTGGGTTTTACTTATTATTCTTTTTCTAGTTTCATGAGATGGAAACTTAGATAATTGATTTTGTCTTTTTTTAAACACATATGTACTTTAGACTGTAAATTTTTATTAAAAACAGCTTTAGTTTTATCCTACCAGTTTTGAGATGCCATATCTTTATTGTCATTCAGTTAGGAAATATTTCCTCACACTGCTGTGCTTTCTTCACTGACTCATGGGTTACTTAGCATTGTACAATATCACTTAATCTCCATGCCACTTAATTCCACTATTGTCAGAAAAGTGTTTAGAATTATTTCAATCTTTTGAAATTGCTGGAGTCTACTTTATAATCCAGGATACAGCCAGTTGTTAAGATGCACAACTTTAGGGGTCTCTTCGGGGTCTCTGAAGAGACCCCTAAACAGGCTTTGTATGAGCAACATGGCTGTTGATTCACCTGCGTGCAGGCAGGCTGAAGCTGAAAAGGGCGTCAGTGGAGGGCAGTGGGATAGGAGTTGGTTTTATAGGTTTGGAATGGGCAGTGGAAAGTTACAGAAGTTACACTTGGTTTCTTGCAAGCCGGGAGGGGGTCGTAGGGTGTGGAGTCATGAGGTTGGCTAAAGTCCAATGGCCTTGTCAATTGAGGCAGGAATAAGAAACAACAGAAGAATGTCTCAGGTGAGTTAGGCCCCACAAGGGGTGATCTTTCTTCCAGGATCTCATCTGGGGTGTATGTACAGGTCATCGAGATTACCATGCCATTCATGGAGCAGTCAGACCTTACACAAGTTTGGGCAAATTCCTCACATTTTTTTTTCAATATTGCTGCTGACTGTATGTCCTGTCTCCAGTACACACCCAGTTCTAAGAAGAAGGCACACCCATACTCTAAGGTCTAAACTAGAAAGTGATACATACCACTTGCTCACATTTTATTGGCAAGAATACATTCATATATCCACATGGCTTAATGCTGGGAGCTTAATGCTTAATACTAGGGGCTTAATGCTAGGGTGGAGGGAAAGCTGAAATTTTGGAACAGATTCTCCCCCTATAAGACAGCAAGACAGTGGCAAGCTGTCCCACAGATAGTGTTCCATCAGACTGGTCTCATTTGGATCACTTTCCTATGTTTTACCTGTTGCTGTGGCAAAAGGGATGGAAAGTAATCCTGTTGGACCAAGCCCAGATATTCATTTCCTTTATCAATAACAGACACTGTTAATCCCACAAGAGCACAAAAAACAGGTTCCAAGGAGGTCAGGTGCTGCAGCTCATGTCTGTAATCCCAGAACTTTGGGAGATCAAGGTGGACAGATCACTTGAGGTTAGGAGTTTGAGATCAGCCTGGCCAATATGGTGAAACCCTGTCTCTGCTAAAAATATAAAAATTAGCCAGGTATGGTGGCAGGTACCTGTAGTCCTACCTACTCTGGAGGCTGAGGCAGAGAATCCCTTGAAACCCAGAGGCAGAAGGAAGTTGCAGTGAGCGGAGATTGCACCACTGCACTCCAGCCTGGGCGACATAGCAAGGCTCCCTCTCACACAAAAACAAAAACAAAACAAAAAGGTTCCAAAGAGGAAAGATGAGTTACTTTATAAAGAAAAGGGAATAAACTGGGCGTGGTGGCTCACGCCTGTACTCTCAACACTTTGGGAGGTTGAAGTAGGAGGGTGGCTTGATTTTAGGAGTTCAAGACCAACCTGGGCAATATGGTGAGGCTTTCTCAAAAAAAAAAAAAAAAAAAAAAAAAATGGAGGTAGGGAATAAGTAGTACCATTCAAAACCTAAAACTAAAACAAAAATGATGCTCACTACAAAAAGTGAGAAAAAGGAAAAAGGTAGCTTCTGGATTTGGAAATTCATAGGTCACTGGTGTTCCTAATGAGAGCCACAGTTGTGGAGTGACAGAGAGAAGCCACCTGTGGCGCAGGAGTCCTCAGTGGGTGGGGAGGAATGGATGCAGCATGCTGAAAGTGGCCGTCACTTTCAATGTGATCAACTGTGAAGAGCGACAGATACAGCGTCCTGGCTGAGTTCCCCAAAAAGAGAACAAGAATTTGAGCTCGAGTTCAGTTTCTTGGGAGGTGATCATCGGTAGAAGATTGGGGCAGTGAGTCTGGGAAAGGAAGGAAGCCAACAGAAGGTGGCTTGAGGCGCGTTACAGCTGTGGACAACTGCAGCTCGAGCCTACAAAGGATGACCGCAATACGCCTAGGACACATGCCTCCCCGTGGGGCATGTGCGGAGGGCAAGGGAGCCAGGAGCATTCTCGACCAACTTTGTCCCTTGTGGAGGGAGAGCAGCTGGGAGGGAATCCAAGCACCCAGCGCCTTTGAGCCTGCCCATTTCTGCTCTAAGCAGGCTCTCTACAGCCAGCGAATGCCTCCATGTGGAGGCGGGGCGTAAGACCGGCAAGTGCGTGCCTGGAGGCCCTGTGGAATTTGGGCAAAGATGGGAGAGAGAAGGGCGCTTTTACAACATGCTCGGTAGATACCGTGAGCACTGGGAAACAGGAAAGGGAGAGGACCCAGGGGTTCTTTCTCTAAAGAAGAGTAAAAGATGCGAGGTGCAGGGCTGATACGAGTAATTTATGAGGAAGTGTAGGAAGTTTGTGGGAACTCTGATGATCATTGTCCTCTTTGTCCCTCAAATGTAGCAACATGGTCTAAAAGGAAGTTAGAGTGGCAACCAGAACCGAAGGAACTTTTAAGAGCCACTCCCCGCCGCTCATAGGGGGAAATCGAGGTCCGGGGAAGGGAAAGCAAGTGGCCGAATGCCGGTAAAGGGCAGGAAGAGAGCGGAGCCCAGGGGTCCAGGGGGCCGGTTCGGGACCTGCTTCCACCAGCGGAGTCTAAGGTCATCCCCTTGGCCATGCGCCATCGAGGTCTCAGCGGAAGGAAGGAGCACTCGACCCAACAAAACGGACGCCCAGAGTCTCCGTAGTCGTTAAGCAAAGAAGGGGAAGAGCATTTTCACTAGGCCACAGGACCAGGCCTTAGAACTTTTGGGTTTTATCCATAAAAGGTCTTTAGGAAACAGAAGAAAAACCCAGATCGAGCCCTGCAAACAGGGATCTTCCGCCGGCACCGCCTCCCGGCTGCGACCTAGGCTCGGGAGGAACCGCCCCAGGCCTCGGCCCGGGCTCCACCGCACAGTCAGCGCGCGGCGGTAAACCCGCGCCCACGCAGCGAGCCCCCAACCCTGCTCCACTGCCGCCGCCGCCTGAGGGGGCGGTGCGGAGAAGACGCGCCGCGGCCCACGGACCCCTGCAGAGCGCGGCGGAGCCGGGCCGCGTGGAATCACGGGCCGGAGGCGGGGCCGCGCAGGGGTGGGCGGGCGGCGCTCTCCACTCCGGCAGACGCGCGGGCGCCCGGGCGCGGCGCCGCCGGCACTGGAGAGGCGCGGCTGCCGGTGCGGGCAGCGGGAGCCGGACCGCGGCGGGCGCACGGGCACTGCCGCCTAGGCCGGCCGGTCCCTACGGCGGCTGCCCGGAGGCCCGGGCGCGCGGCCCTTCGCCATGTACACCTTCGTGGTGCGCGACGAGAACAGCAGCGTCTACGCCGAGGTCTCCCGGCTGCTCCTCGCCACCGGCTACTGGAAGAGGTTGCGGCGAGACAACCCCAGGTTCAACTTGATGTTGGGAGAGAGGAACCGGCTGCCCTTCGGGAGACTGGGTGAGCCCTTCCCCATTTCCCGCCTGCCCTCCCCGGAGCGGCCCTGCGCGCCTCCCGCGGCCCGTTAGAACCAGTGCTTTTGTTTTTAAAGGTCACAAATCTTCCCTTCTGTCGCTTCTCGGGCATATCAAAACAGATCCAGAAAGATCGAAACCTGTCCTTTTTAATGCTTTCTTGCCTCCTAACTTGGATTTAGAGTCGGAGTCGTGGTACGGCCACTCAGGGCTACAGCTGCCTCCTGACAATGACCGGTCCCTGCAGCCCGGGAGACGTCGGCCGCCGGGGCTGGAACCTGAGGCGCGCGTATCGCGGCTTCCCAGATCTGACGCCCCCAAATCGGGCAGGTCCGCCTGGGCGGGGCGCGGCTCCGAAAAGCCAGAGGCTGGCGTCGGCTGGAGTCATCTTGCAGCTTTTCTGCACTGAGGATTTCTGTCTGCTTGGCGTGGGCGCAGGAGGGAGAGCTGTAGGTGTTGAAACCCCTAAGGCTTCTGCCACCCAAAGACGCAGAGGAACGGTCAGGGGATTTGGAAAAGACCTCTGGATATCAAAAGCAGGAGCTGCAGAAGAGACCCTAGCCCAGGGAAAAGATGTCTAATTTTAAACCTTTCCTTAGTTTCACCAAATAACATGTTTCGAAGTTCTACATTGGATTAAGGTCTTACAGGAGACTGGGTTCACCCTCCCTCTCTTCCCTGCTGTCCCCGAGGGAATTACCTTCATCCACAGGGTGAAGCTGGCTGGGCACCACCATACCCACTTGTCTGCGGGTAGGAAGGTGCAGGAGATAGGAGTTGGACTAGATGCTCCTTTGTAAATGATGTCATCCAGAAGTTGCCCAGGTCGGTTCAACTCACATCCCATTTACCTGAGCACAGTCTCATGGCCTCCCCTCACTGCACAGTCATCTGGGAAGTGCAGATTCTCTAGGGAGCCATGTTCCCTGCCAGAATTCACCAGAGGTTGGGGCCAGTTGTATTCCAAAGACAAGGAGAGAATTGATACGGAGGAAGAGTCACTTCTGCCTTGGAGGGCAACCCAGAGAGGGCAGTGTTCTATGTCCAGAAGAGGAAACAGTTTTTAGAAATAGGTGTGGTCAGCGTTCGAATGGGTAAAAACTGAATATAGGCCCTTTGGAATTGACTGGTCATTGGTGAGCTTCCAAAGATAAAGCCTTTGAAAAGGGGGTTGTGTAAAACTCTAATCGTTGGAGCAATGAAGAGCTGCAGTGTAAAGTTACTGATTTTTTTATTTTGAATAGTACCTGGGACAACTTTTCATTTGTATACAAGTTTATGATGTAGAATGGTGACTCCATGGAAGGGGCCATTTGAACACCCAGAAATCTCAGAATATGGAGACTGTGCCTGGAGAGTCCCTTTTGTTAACCGGTCTCAGGAAGACCTTAGCAAAGAGAATACATGACCTGAAAGGAGGGGAAGAATTGCTTATAGTTCAGAACAATTATTTCTTCCTTGCATTGTCCACTTCCCTTCCAGACTTCCTGACTTCCTTCTGTATTCTTGGCAGTGCCTGGCTGTGAAAGCTTAGGTGGAATCCTAATATTGAAAACAAACATGGCTCCGCCCAGGCGGAGAGAGGAGTGACTGGCATTATTACCCAGGTGCTTAAGCCTAGGAATGAGAAGCAGAAGCCTACAGAATTTGAATCCTAAACAGGTACTGCAAATTCAGCAGAAGATTAGTAAACATTTGTTTTGCTTTTGTTTTTAAGACAGACTCACTCTCTGACGCCTGGACTGGAGTGCAGTGGCGCTATCTTGGCTCACTGCAACCTCCACCTCCTGGGTTCAAGCAATTCTCCTGCCTCAGCCTCCCAAGAAGCTGGGATTACAGGCACACACCACTATACCCAGCTAATTTTTGTATTTTTAGTAGAGGTAGGATTTCACCATGTTGGTCAGGCTGGTCTCAAACTCTTGACATCAGGTGATCTGCCCACCTCAGCTTCCCAAAGTGCTGGCATTACAGATGTGAGTCACCATGCCCGGCATACATTTCGTTTTTATGGGAAAGAAAACAGCATGCTACAACGAAGTTGGTTTTATGTCATCACTGTTAAGGGATATTTACCATTTGCTTAAAGTGCACTATGTGAAAGCCAAGGAGAAGATTTATTGAGCTAGGTAAAGGCTTAGGAAGGCTGGTGCCCTGTGGATAAGAAGGTAGGCAGTTCAGGGGGGAATCAGGCCTGTCTGTCCAAGGGGACCAGTGAGAGCCAGCTAATGCCTACCTGAAACTTTTGATTTGACTATATGCCATTCTCAGATAAATTATTCTTACTTTTGGCATTTTCAACTGAAAAGTCCTTTGTTTGGGCTTACTTTGTTTCTGTTACTGCAAATGCAATGCATTTCATTAAAATTTGAAACAAAATGCTTTTTTATTATTATTTTTTGAGATGAAGTCTCATTCTGTTGCCCAGACTGGAGTGCAGTGGTGCGATCTCGGCTCACTGCAACCTCTGCCTTCCAGGTTCAAGCAATCTTGTGCCTCAGCCTCCCAAGTAGCTAGCATTGCATGCGTGTGCCACCATGCCTAGCTAATTCTTATGTTTTTAGTGAAGATGGGGTTTTCCCATGTTGGCCTGGCTGGTCTTGAACTCCTGACCTCAGGTGATCCACCCTCCTCAGCCTCCCAGAGTGCTGAAATTACAGGCATGAGCCACTGTACCTGGCTGAAAACACTTTTCATTTTAAATAAAAATTTGTTTTTCTTCGTACCCTTTCTGCTCTAATTTTATTTAAAAAGGCCACATGTGATAAGAGATGTTGAAAATGAGTTTTCCCATGGAATGAGGCACAGAAGAAAGCTCTCATGGCTTCTGATTTCATAGATATGGCCTCTCCACTGCCTTCATTCACCTCCTAGAAGCTTGCAGAGATAGACTTGCTTGAGAGCAGCATCATTCTAGTTCTCCTTCCTTCCTTGGTGTAGAAAGCCAGGTTACAGATGTGGAAAGCATGACTCTATTAAAGTAGCCTTACCGTACAGGATGACAAGTCTATATGTGTTAAGCCAGGAGGGGAATGCGGTGTGCAGTCAGGGAGAGGTGAAATGAAAATTACCCTCAATACCCTCCACCCTAACAAGAAAAAACAAAGGTAGCAGCAGTTTTGGCAGACTTAAGATGCTGATATTATGATATCCACTGTGGGGAGACTGAAGGTTGCCAGCAGGATACCAAGAGAAAGAGGGTCCTTGGGGACAGAGAAACAAAACTGTTCCATTTTCTAACAGCCAATCCTGAGATGAGAGAAAGAAAAGCTGGGCGTGACACAGCTGTCCTCTCTTGCTGGTGCTGACATTGTCATTTCCCAGTTGTCCTGTGTCCCTTCTGACCCTCCTCTTTCCTTCCTAGGTCATGAGCCCGGGCTGGTACAGTTGGTGAATTACTACAGGGGTGCTGACAAACTGTGTCGCAAAGCTTCTTTAGTGAAGTAAGTGTTCTTTAAGACCGCCGTTTTCCAGGTTTTACCTAAATAAAAAACTTAGGCAAAAATGTGGGGTTATTTAAAAGGCAAACATGTTTTTATTTTAAAAGCCAACAATTATCTGTTGAGAAGCTTCCTCTAAGCCACTTGGGTTGCAGTCCAAAATATGTTGCTTGATAAAGCGTGTGTGTGTCTCTGAGGTGAGCCTCCTAGAAGCAGAGCCTGACTCAGGGTTTCCTGTGTAAGTGATTTCCTGGGATAGGGTTCTTAAGAGACACCCGTCAGGAAGTGGCTGGGCATGGTGGCTCACACCTGTAATCCTAGCACTTTGGGAGGCCGAGGCAGGCAGATCACCAGAGGTCAGGAGCTCAAGACCAGCCTGGTCAACATGGAGAAACACCATCTCTAGTAAAAAATATAAAATGAACTGGGTGTGGGGGCGGATGCCTATAATCCCAGCTACTCAGGATGCTAAGACAGGAGAATTGCTTGAGCCCAGGAGGCGGAGGTTGCGGTGTGCTGAGATTGTGCCATTGCACTCCAGCCTGGGCAATAAGAGTGAAACTCTGTCTCAAAAAAAAAGAAAAAAGGAAGCAAAGGCACAGCAGGGCAGGGGCAGAACCAAGTAAAGAGGTGGTTTCAGCCAAAGTCTTGCCTCTCCTGACTCCAAGGAGCACTGAAGCAAATGGCATGTCAGAGTTGTCACATTTTGAGCAAGGGGACCAGGCCTCTGTGCCCCAGTATCAGTCAGCCATCAGCTGTGGGAAGAGATGAAGGGCCTAGTTTCACAGGCATTTCTGGGCATGGGCTGGTCCCTGGAGAAGGGCATATGTAGCCCTTAGCATCCATCTCTCATATTAGCAAGGGGTCCCTCAGAAAGAATATCTGGCCAGGGTATAAGAGCATTCACTCCACTGCCCATCTCTGAACAGTTGCATTATGGCCAGGTATCATCACAAAGTGGAAGGTGACTCTGTTATACAACGATTAAGGTCTAAGGTCAAAAGTGTAGGTTTTCATCCCAGCTCTTCCTCTCACTAGCTTGGGCAGATCCCCTCCTCCCTCTAAGCCTCAGTGCCTCTCTCATAAGGCTATTATGAGAATTAAATAAGGTGATGCATGTAAAGTTCATACAGCACAGTGGCCTGGTACATAATGAGTATTTGACACTGCCTTAATTATCTTGTCTGTAAATTGGGGAAATAGTAACTACCTTAGGTTGTTACCAGGATTAATTGAGCTAATTTAGCTAAGGGCTTTGAATAGTGCCTGTCTCGTTCACACTGTCGTAAGTGAAAGCACACCTGAGTATTATTGCTATCAGTATAGTTGTCATTGCTATTATTATTTCAGTAGGGAAACACTGGGTCAGGCTGCTAAAATCAGGGCTGTCATAGGTCTCCAGTATTCTTTCCATGATGACTGTTGAACATGTATGTGTAGCCAGGTACTGGGAGATATGACTCAATGCAAAATGCTCTTTTCCCACTAACATTTTTTTCTGGACGCTAGATATTTACTAGATTGGGTGCGCACCAGAACATTTCTGCTTTGTTCACTCATTGGCCTTGGTAACTTATGTATCCACTCCTCTCTGTGATGGGTTTTCATGATTCATCCCATTCCTGAAGGAGAGTGAGGCTTCCTGAAGTAATCTTGTGACATATTTATATATTTAGAATGCAAATAACTGTTTCACTAGAATCGGGAATAGAATGGAACATGCTTGTTTATTCAGATTATTCACTTAGAAATTCTTTTTTTTTCATTTGTTTTCAATTTTTTTTTTCTAGTAACTCCTCTGAGCTAATCACTTAGAAATTCTTACTAAATATTTATTAAACCTTTTCTGCTGTGATTTTTTTCCCTAAAGACAAAGGTAAAAGTTTGCTTTTATAAGTGGGAAGCAGAGGATGCTATTTAAAAAAAAATGGTCTCCATATTTGCATGTTTTGCAGTGAAGCAGAATGAGTACACGGCTGGAGTCATGACCAAGTATGATAAATATCTGTGATCTTGGAGAGCACCACTCAGAATCCCAGTGTTTCATCTGTAAAATGGGGATGGATGATGGTGACAATACCTGCTCATTGCCTGTCGGAGGCATGCAGTATAATCCGTTATAGCACCTTATAACACTGACATGACCTATGCAGGCCGGAGGTTGCATCATCCTCATCAGCTTCCATCTTTGTCTCAGGTGTCCTGTGAGGGGCTTGTAGTAATTCCAGGATATGATGGTTCCCTTTATCCATTTGTCTCTCTCCCATGATTCTATATGGCTTGAAAGGACTCCAGAGAGTTAAAATATAGTCTCCTTCATTTTATAGGACAAAATGGCAGAGAGGACAGCCAGGTTGCCCATGGCCATAGTAGCTCCTGTTAAGCCAGGACAGTTTTAATCTGCACAAATGGGACCCCTGGCCATTGTGACTGTGCACCCTTGGGGGGCTTCCCAGAGCCTTGGTGGTTGGTGTTCAGTGCAGGACCCTGTCCAGCCCAGTCCTTCCTCCTGTCACTTCAGGGAGTTTCAGAAATTCATTAAGGCCTCAAGGCTGTAGTCTTAGAACCCTGAGGGGCTTTTATTCTCCTGGTACAGATCAGAGGCTTGCTTTTCTTCTCCTGAGCATTACTGTTTTATAGATGTAAATTCCATTTCTAATTACTTCCCAAATGGGCCCATGAGGAGATTGGACAAAAGCAAAGGACTTCCTGCAGAGCCTAGTCTTGGTTCTGTACAGGAAATGAGGGCATCCAAACCAATCTACAGACCAGCACTGTCCAACAGAATAAGATGCTAGCCACACAAGTAATTTTAAACTGCGTAGCAGCCACATTAAAATAAGTGCAAAGAAACAGCTGCAAGCCAGACATGGTGGCTCATGAGTGTAATCTCAGCACTTTGGGAGAGGTGGGTGGATCACCTGGGGTCAGGAGTTCAAGACCAGCCTGACCAACATAGTGAAACCCCATCTCTACTAAAAATACAAAAATTAGCCAGGTATGGTGGTGGGTGCCTGTAATCCCAGCTAGTTGGGAGGCTGAGGCAGTAGAATCGGTTGAACCTGGGAGGTGGAGGTTGCAGTGAGCCAAGATTATACCACTGCACTCCAGCCTGGGAGAAAGAAAAAAGAAACAGCCGTAATTAAATTAATTTATTATATTTAACTGAAAAAATCCAAGATGTTATTTTGACATGTAATTAATACAAAAAGCTATTATATTTTACATTCTTTTTTTATTCAGTCTTCAAAATGTGATGTGAATTTTACATTTGTAGCACATCTTAATTCAAACAGTAAATTTTTATTGGTAATCTTTGATCTGAATTTAGCTTATGTAAAAAAATAAGGTTGAAGATGTAGACTTATGTACCCAAGTTGTACATAAAAGTTTTTCAATAACTTTGAATGCCAAAAGGTCTATTTCCTTTAATATTACACACACATTTTCAAAACTAGTTCATTTTTTTCTGGAAGAATTGATTATGAAGCAAAAGCTTATCATTTTCAAAATAATGTCCAAATTAAGTAAATTCACCAACCCCTCTGTCAGTTCAATATTGTAAATATCAAATTTAAAGATGTATTGAATATATTGAAAAGTAACTCTAAATGTATCAATATCAACAAAGCATTCTTCAGATTTCTGTTAGTTTTTACAGCCAATTTTCATAATGTTATTACAATTAACATTTTTTGCATACTGAGTCATGTTATAAAACTATGTGAAATCATTGTTATCAACTTGTATTATGAAGTTGGAACATAAATTCTCATACCTGTCTGGCTAAATCACAAATAAGGTCTTCTTTTCCCTTCCTTGGAGCTTTAAATTTAGCTTGTTCATATGCAGTATGAAGACAGATGAGAAGATGCAAATGGCAGTATTTTTTTTTTTTTTTTGAGGCAGAGTTTTACTCTTGTTGCCTAGGCTGGAGTGCAGTGGTGCGATCTTGGCTCACTGCAACCTCCACCTCCCGGGTTCAAGTGATTGTCCTGCCTCAGCCTCCTGAGTAGCGAGGATTACAGGCATGAACCAGCATGCCTGGCTAATTTTGTATTTTTAGTAGAGACAGGGCTTCTCCACGTTGGTCAGGCTGGTCTCGAACTCCTGACCTAAGGTGATCCACTCACCTCAGCCTCCCAAAGTGCTAGGATTACAGGTGTGACCTAACGTTCTTTTTTTTTGTGACAGAGTCTTGCTGTCTCCCAGGCTGGAGTGCAGTGGTATGATCTTGATTATTCAATGATAATCACAATTATTGGAATAATGAATTATTGAGTGAAAATAGTGATTTGACAAACATTCCTTTTATTTTCAAGAAAATCTAAATTGGAGTTGAAAAGTAAATATTTATTTAAAAAAAAAAAAAACCTGTCCCTCTCTCAATGAGTGAACATTGGCAGAGAACACAGTATCATTAAATTCATTGTCTTCTGTTTCCACAACTGGGGAATCACCGTGTATATACAGAACCATTTCAACAACTGTATCCGTGACACTTAGAGTCTGCTTCAGAAAACCTAACACAAGGCTGGGTGCTGGGGCTCATGTCTGTAATCCCAGCACTTCGGGAGGCCGAGGCGGGTGAATCATTTGAGGCCAGGACTTTGAGACCAGCCTGGCCAACATGGCAAAATCCGATCTCTACCATAAATACAAAAAATAAATTAGCTGGGCATGGTGGTGCACACCTGTAGTCCCATCTACTTGGGAGGCTGAGGCATGAGAATCGCTTGATCCCAGGAGGCAGAGTTTGCAGGGAGCTGAGATTGCACCACTGCACTCCAGCCTGGGCAACAGAGTTAGACCCTGCCTCAGAAAAACAAACAAGAAGAAAACCCAACACAAATGTTTTCGATATGTATCACATAATGCAATGAAGCAAAAGTTTCCAGTATGTAGCATACAATAAAATGAAGTAGTAAAGGAAACATTAGTCTTATCAAAATCTTAGTAAATCCATATTTTAATAAACCTAACTGAAGTCTTATCTGTCATGATAGAAAGTAATTTTTTGGATGTAGGTAAAATTCTTTGACATATGTAAAAGATTTAAAAAAATTATACTATGAGTTTGGGTTTTTTAAGCTGCAATTTGCTGGCATTTTTTCATATATTTGGAAATTTTTTGAGGCAAAACACCCAAAGTATTAATTGGACGGTATTTCTTATGTCACACAGTTCACCTAAAGCTAAAGAAAAATACTTAATATTTTTCAAATTTTGAGTCAGTAGTTGATATTGTTAGAAAAGTTTTATAGTCTGTGGGCAATTGTGACTCAACTGAAGATTGTTCATTTTTGTAAATTATATTTTTAAATCTTCTCCTTAAAATAGTTTTTTAGAACCACATTTACATCTAAAATAGTTTTCTTTTTCTGTAAGTATCCAAGCCATTTTGTAGTCACCCAGAGTTATTAAATTCAGACCCTGTTAAACATTTGCTTAAAAATGTGTTGGATATTGTGATTTCAGCCACTAGTTTTATTAATTTTTTTTTAGTATTGAGAGGAAAATACTTATCAAGTTTATTATATATTTGCTAAAAATATCTCCTTTACACAATTTTCAGTTTACTTTGACCATAGCCTATTGCAGTCACCACTTGTGAATCTGTGGCATACTTCCTTTCGGATGGAGTCTCGCTCTGTCACCCAGGCTGGACTACAGTAGCACAGTCTTGGCTCACTGCAACCTCTACCTCCTGGGTTCAAACATTTCTCTGCCTTAGCCTCCTGAGTAGCTGGGATTGCAGGTGCCCACAACCACGCCCAGATAATTTTGTGTGTGTGTGTGTGTGTGTATTTTTAGTAGAGACAGGGTTTCACCATCTTGGCCAGGCTGGTCTTGAACTTCTGATTTAATGATCCACCCACCTTGGCCTCCCAAAGTGCTGGGATTACAGGCGTGAGCCACTGCACCCAGGCTTTTTTTTGTAAATCTGTTACTGTCCTTCTCGTAGTTCTAGCTTCTGTGTTCCTGCTCAATTCCACATCAGTAGTATGTCTTTGTTTTAAATTTAAAATGTCCAAATATATTTTTCTAGAAAAAAATTCTGTTTCACCTTGGTTACCGATTGTGGTATACATAGCTGACACTGGAACCCATGCTTTCCGCATAGTAAACATATCATAATGTTTCATCAGTTCACAGAAAGAAATCACTTGAACTGAATCAATCTATTGTCCTTCTATAATAGAATAGCGATGTGTTTGTGTGTGATACTAGAAAGGACACATGGCCCTGACGTGCATGCTGCAATACAGCAACCAAGTAAAGTGTTACCCTACCACATCAATAAAGCTGTGCTTCATGGAAAAATATTTTATAATGCATCCATTTTGAAATTAAAGGCAAATTAAACTTTAGGCCAGGCATAGCGCTCACACCTGTAATCCCAACACTTTGGGAGGCCAAGGTCAGTGGATCACCTGAGATCAGGAGTTCGAGACCAACTTGGTCAACATGGTGAAACCTATCTCTACTAAAAATACAAAAATTAGCTGGGCGTGGTGGTGGGCACCTGTAATCCAGATACTTGGAAGGCTAAGGTGGGAGAATCACTTGAACACAGGAGGTGGAGGTTGCAGTGAGCTGATATTATGCCACTGCACTCCAGCCTGGGTGACACAGTGAGACTCCATCTCAAAAAAAAAAGTTAAACTTTAAATTCAGTTCCTGAGTCACACTGACCACATTTCAAATGATCAGTAGCTACATGGGGCTGGCTAGTGGCCACTGGTTGGGACAATACAGATACGGAGTTGAACTTGCAGTGAGTTAAGAATTTATTTTGTTCCTTCAAGTTCAAGTAGCTTTTCAGTTCTTTCACTTACACTTTAAAATACCTTTATTTTAAATCTCAATCTAAAATGTCATTATTTCCACCATTTGTTCACAGACTGGGTTTTGTGGGTGAATCTTAATACAGAAGTGGCATTAACAGTTCTGTTCTAAACAGAAGAGGGAGCACAGCTCATGGAAGGCCAGCGCATGTCTGTGGGCAGGTTCCTCCCTCGCTCTGATTCCTGGGAAGTAAGAGCAGGTTTCCATTTAAGACTGGGGGTTTTGGAGTAGCTTGAGCTGTTTAAAAAAAAAAAAAAGACTTGGGATTTTGGGGCTTGCATCTTGGCTGGTCCTCTCTACCTCTTTGATCTTAGGAAATTTACTTCTCTGTGACCCAGTGCCTAATTTGTGAAATGTGATGCCAGTGCCTCTAGCTTCAGGGGTGTGATTGCAGAGTAGATGCTGTGGGAAGCCCCTGTGTGCTAAGTGCCTTGTCTGACTTTATCTTCTGTGGTGTTATGGTATTTGGGGAGCAGGAAGTATATTTCACTATGACCGCTGGTGTTCTGTGTCCCATTAGAAAGATACCTTTTTTATTCTGTCACCAAAGCCAGCCTATGCTAAAAGCAAGAAAAGAAGGGCTTTAAAAAGTCTTTAGATAATTCAGGTTCCTACATAAGCTTCTCTCCCATAGGGAGTTGGGCCAGGATACTCTTTTTGCTACTTAAATTTTCCTCTCTTCCCCATTTCATTTTTTAGTATGGGTCTGGCTCAACAACCTATTTGTTGAAAAGGTATTGGCTCAGAATTATGTCCAGTTAAGTTTCCTTGGAGATGCATTTTAAGAAGAACGAAAGTGTTAGACATTAAGCCTTTTGAATTAACTGGGTATGCCTTTAAAGTTGCATCTAACAGCTGTGTGCTGCCCAATAATGCATTTGGGGTTTGTCCAGAGAGACAGAGAGCAAACAGAGGTGTTAGGAGATTGGGTCATGCTTTGCCTCCCTGAAAATCTCTGGGGGAAAGCAGTGGGCTTTCTGAAGAGAGTGACGAAGTGCACTTAGAAGGGAGGCTGACCTTCTTATGTCATCTGCCAGGCTAATCAAGACAAGCCCAGAACTGGCTGAGTCCTGCACATGGTTCCCTGAGTCCTATGTGATTTATCCAACCAATCTCAAGACCCCAGTTGCTCCAGCACAGAATGGAATTCAGCCACCGATCAATAACTCAAGGACGGATGAAAGAGAATTCTTCCTCACTTCTTATAACAGAAAGAAAGAGGATGGGGAGGGCAACGTTTGGATTGCAAAGTCATCAGCTGGTGCCAAAGGTGAGTTGACACTGCTGTCCCCTTCTCTACTCCTGGTAAGTTCCTATTGTGATGTATTTAGATGAATGACCCTATTCTAATCTGAATCATCGAAGATATAGACCACGTCTAGTTACATAATTATAAACACCCACCTATGTACTGATGCCTTCTAAACATGTATGTATCTCCAGTATAGGTCTTTTCCTTTAAGCTCTAGATGCACTGACACCCTCACCATCTCTAAAAGGCAATTGCAACTCAATACATATGATACAGAACTTTTTATTTCCTTCCCAACTTTGCCCACGCCAGCCTGCTCCTCCTTCACGCTTTCCACTTAGTATGTGATCCCACTATTCACTCAGTCTCTGAAACTTAAAACCTAGGATTCATCCTTGACTGATCTACTCTCTGCTATCTACTACTAATGCATTAGCAATTATTGCTAGCTCTACCTTCAAAGTACATTCTGAATAGATTATTTCTTGCTATTTCCACTGCTCCCTGTCTAAATCAAAGCCCCCGTTCTGTTTAGTGTGTGTAACTGCAGAGCCTGCTCTCAATCAGTTCTCCTTCCAGACAGTGTTTTAAAAACATAAATCAAATCATGTTACTTCCTAGTTGAGACTTACCAGCTGGCTTCCTAATGCAATTAGAATGAACTCCAGATTCCTAAAGGTAGTCTGCACCATTTGATATTTGCCCATGTCTCTGATCTCATCTTCTATCCTCAGCTTTGCTGTCTGCACCGTAGACACAAAGACTGCCTAGTATCTCTCAAATACTCCAAATTTGTCTCTGTACCTAGAATGTGCTTACATGGATTGTTTTCTGTTTCTCTCAGCTCAGATGTTGGCTCCTCAGGGAAGGCTTTTCTAATCTAGAATAGCCTCTGTTTCCATTGTTTTCTTTCCCTTTTCCCTGCTTTATTTACCTCCTGGCATTAACATCTTCCTGGCACTATACTACTTACCTGTCCATCTCTCAACATTATACTGTAGGCTTCACACAAACACAGACTTTCCGTCTTATTCATCCTTGTACGTTCCTCATAGGCACTCAACAAATATATGCTGAACAAATGTGTAGAAGGGGTGAGGTTTACAATACTAACTCAGGCTGAAAATAGAGGCAGTTCATTAACTCAATTTATGTGTAATGAACACATAAACAGTCTCGGTCTATGACTGCCTTCCTATGCTGTTTATAAAACCATTCCCTTTTGAACTCACTTCTTGTATTGCTTTGGAAGACATCTGGCCATTGATACTCCTTTCTATTCCAAGTCAAAGGGACATCACCTTCTTTTCCACCAACCATAAGACAGGAGGCCTCACCTGGTATCCCTGAAAGGGAGAAAGTTGGACTCTTGCCACAAGCCAGGTACCTCACCTACTTTTTTCTCCCTTCTTGTGACCTTTTCTCAAGTACTGCCCCCAGTGTGGTTCCAGTGGAAAATGGCAGAATTGGAGAAGGAAATACATATCATGGTACTATAGAATCCTGTGGGTTTGGGATTGGAGTCAGAATGGCCATTCTGAGGACACCTGGGTGATCCCTGGACTCTCACCAGGATCAGACTCAGAGGGACACCAAGCAGCAGGAGGAAGTCAAGAGAATAAAATGCCAAACAAAGACTTTTTGCTTTAGGAGTTGAGGAGATAAGTTTTTATTTTCTTATTTTGTAGGTATTATGTTTGGGAACTATAAAATGAAATCAATAGGATGAATGAATGTCTTTTATTCTTGTTACACAAGTGTTTATTTGGTACCTATTACATGCTTTGTATAGTTGGCTCAACCTTCAAGCTCTATCCATTATGAAGCCACTGTTCAGCATGTCCACTACCCATCATCTCTAAACTGAGCCACCTTTACCTCTCACCTGGAGCACCGGAACACACTACATCTGTAATAGCAAATTATTGTTTAGAAACAACCCCATTGTCCCACTGCTATTACAGATAGCAGTAGTAAATGTTTTTGCTATAGATCATGCTTGTTTCTTTTTCAATTTTAATTTTTATTATGTGTGTGTGTGTTTGTGTGTGTGTGTATGTATTTTTTTTTTTTTAACGTCTTGCTTTGTTGCCCAGGCTGGAGTGCAGTGGCATGATCTCAGTTCACTACAGCCTTGAGTTCCCCTGCTCAAGCGATCCTCCTACGTCAGCCTCTTGAGTAGCTGAGACTACAGCCATGCACCGCCACATCCTGTTAATTTTTTGATTTTTAGTAGAGATGAGGTCTTACTATGTTACCCAGGCTGGTCTTGAACTCCTGAGCTCAAGTGATCTTCCCACCTCTGCATCCCAAAGTGCTGGGATTACAGGCATGAGCCATCCCACCCAGCCTCAGCTCTTCTTTCTTCTTAAATATTGCTTTTGAGTAAGTGTGAAAAATGAGATGACTGCTCAAATGACATGAAGGCTTTATGGCTTTTGCTTTGTGTTATCCTATTGCTTTTTCAAAGGCCTGTGAGCTAACAGGGAGCAGTTCATGACAAACTTTCACTAATAGTGTCATCATTTTTGTTTTCTCATTTTATAGGTATAAAATGATACATAAAATTTTAATTGATTTTATTATTTTGCATACTGGTGTATCAAAAAATCTGAGTATGATTCCTGAGGGAGATAAAATAGTTGTGTGTAGGAAACGATAGGAAGGGAGCTTTTCCAGGTTGATTTGCAGTTTCTTGTTCAAGAAGCTGATCAGATGGTAGAACAAGTGACGGGAACAGGGTAGTTGAGAAGGGGGTTAACTTTTGGGAAAGATAGATTGTTGAATTAATGAACTGAATTAAATTCATTTACACTGAAAGCATGAGACCCAGGTAGAAATCAGCTATAAATCTAAAGCATAGATCAGAAGGTTCTAGCATCTTAAAACCACAATGAGCTGGCACTACACTTTTATTAAAATGGTTAAAATAAGAAATGGTGACAACTCACTAAAGAGTGAGTTCAGCAATGTTACAGGATATGAGAGCAACACACAAAACTTAATATACCAGCAATGAACATGTGTAACCAAAGTTAAAAACACAATACTACTTACCTGGATGCAGTGGCTCATGCCTATAGTCCCAACACTTTGAGAGGCCGAGGTGGGTGAATCACTTGGGGTCAGAAGTTTGAGACCAGTCTGGCCAACTTGGTGAAACCCTGTCTCTATAAAAAATACACATTAGCCGCTTGGTGGCGAGAGCCTGTAATCCCAATTACTCAAAAGGCTGAGGCAGGAGAATCACTTGAACCCAGGAGGCAGAGCTTGCAGTGAGCTGAGATTGCACCATTGTACTCCAGCCTGGGCAACAGAGCAAAAACTCTTATCTCAACGAAAACCAAAACCAAAACCACAATACTGCTTACAGTAACCCCAGAGAAAATATGATGATGCTGTGTATAAACTTAACAAGACATGTACAGGTGCTATATGCTGATAATTGCAAAATGATTATGAAGGAAGTCAAAGAGAACCTAAAGAAATGGACAGACATACTGCGTTCATGGATGGCAGGATAGTAAAGATGTCAGTTTACCCCAAACTGGTCTATAGGTTTATGTAATTCTCATCAAAATCTCAACAAGATTTTTGTGTAGACATGGAACTGCTTCTAAAATTCACATGGAGGCCAGTCACAGTGGCTCATGCCTGTAATCCCAGCACTTTGGGAGGCTAGGCGGGTGGATCACCAGAGGTCAGGTTGAGACCACCCTGGCCAACATGGTGAAACCCATCTCTACTAAAAATACAAAAATTAGCCAGGCATGGTGGCTGGTGTCTGTAATCCCAGTTATTCGGGAAGCTGAGGCAGGAGAATCTCTTGGGTCCAGCCTCTGCAACAAGAGCAAGACTCTATCTCAATAAATAAATAAATAAATAAATAAATAAATAAATAAATTAAAAGTAAAATAAAATAAAAATTCACGTGGAAAGGCATAAGCCCTAGAATTGCTTAAACATCTTGAAAAAGAATAAAGTATAAGTAAACATGCTACTTGATATTAAGACATATTTTAGAGCTATAGTACTCAATACACTGTAGTATTGATGGAAAAATAGAAACATAAATCAGTGGGGCCAGATGCGGTGGCTCACTGCTGTAATCCCAGCACTTTAGGAGGCCAAGGCAGGCAGATCACCTGAGGTCAGGAGTTTGAGACAAGCCTGGCCAACATGGTGAAACAATCTCTACTAAAAATACAAAAACTTAGCCAGGTGTTGTGGCACATTCCTGTACTCTCAGCTACTCAGGAGGCTGAGGCATGAGAACCCAGGGGGCAGAGTTGCAGTGAGCCAAGACCATGCCACTGTGCAACAGCGCAAGCCTCTGTCTAAAAAAAAAAGAAAAGAAAAAAATATATATATATGTATGTATATATATAAGGCCGGTTGCCTCACCAGGAGGTTGGACACACCCACCTCTGCACCCGGCAGCAGGCTCTGCACTTGGCACCTAGCTCTGCCGCGCATGGCTCCCCTGGAAGGCTCCAGCTGATGTAAGGCTCCTGGCCGGCTCTCCCACCAGAAAACCCACCCAACAACCCGCCAACCAATAGCGGCCTGCCACGTCTTAATCCCGCTCCACTGGAGTTAATCAGAGTACCCAGCTGTTGCTCGTTCCTTCTAGCCATAAAAACCCCACGCCCCACGAAGTTGGCGTGACTTCCCTGGCCCCTTTACCCCGGACCATGGAACCTCGCCCAGGAGCTGAATAAATTGGATTTTCATTTTCTTATACTGGCCTCAGTTTCCTCATTTTAAACTCAGCAATAAACCTTACAATATATAAATCAATAGGAGAGAACAGGGAACTAAGACCGAAACATATACGCCCATCTGATTTTTGAAAAAGGTGCAATAGCCATTCAATAGAGAAAGGATAAGCTTTTCAACAGATGTTACTAGATAAGGTGGATATCAACAGGCAGAAAAACAAACATTAACATAAGCCTCATACCTTATACAAAACTGACTAAAAATTGATCGTGGACTTAATAATTTTTCAGAAAAAAGGAGATAGGGCTTAGCAAAGAGTTCTTGAACTTGACTCCAAAAGTATAATTCATAAAAGTAAAAATTGATAAATTGAACCTCATCAAAATAAAACATTTGTTCTTTGAAACACCTCATTAGAGGATAAAAAGATGAGCTACAAACTGGGAGAAAGGATTTTTAAGTCATATATATGATGAGGGACTTAGATCTAGAATATAGAAACAGCTTAAAAACTTAACAGTAGGGCCGGGCATGGTGGCTCAAGCCTGTAATCCCAGCACTTTGGGAGGCCAAGGTGGGCGGATCATGAGGTCAAGAGAACAAGACCATCCTGGCCAACATGGTGAAACCTTGTCTCTACTCAGAATACAAAAATTAGCTGGGCATGGTGGCGTGCGCCTGTAGTCCCAGGTACTCAGGAGGCTGAGGCAGGAGAATTGCTTGAACCTGGGAGGCAGAAGTTGTAGTGAGCCGAGATTGTGCCACTGCACTCCAGCCTGGCACCTGGCGACAGTGAGACTCTGTCTCAAAAAAAAAAAAAACCAAAAACTTAACAGTAAACAACAACAGACACACAATCCAATTAGAAAAAAAACAAACAGTAAGACCTCATCTCTACAAAAAAATATAGAAATTAGTCGTGGTGGCGTATACCTGTAGTCCCAGCTTCTCAGGAGGCTAAGGCTGGAGGATCAGTTGAGCCTGGGAGGTTGAGGCTGCAGTGAGCCAAGATCATGCTACTGCACTCCATCTGGGACAATAGAGCAAGATCCCATCTCAAAAAAGGCAGAAGACATGAACATGTATTTTGACAAAGAGGCTATACAGAATAAGATAAACAAATGAAAAGATTTTCCTTATCATTAACCATTACACAAATGCAAATTGAAAACACAACAAGCCATCACTGCACTTATTAAAATGGTTAAAATAAGAAATGGTAACAATAGCTAATGCTAGCAAGGAGAAACCGGATCACTAATATATTGCTAATGGAAGTGTAAAATGATACAGCCACTCTGGAAAAAGTTTGGCATTGTTTTATAAAATGAAATGTGTAACTACCATGCAACCCAGCAATTTTACACTCTTGGGCATTTGTCCCAGAGAGATGAAAACTTAAATCCACACAAAAACCTGTACACGATTATTCATAGCAGCTTTATTTATAATAGCCCCAAACTCGAAACACCCAGATATTCTTCAATGAGTTATTGATTGAACGAATTGTGGTGAATTTATGCCATGTGCATATGCATCAAAAAGGTATGAACTATTGATTTTTTTAAAAAGCTGTAGTAATGGTTGTAAAACTCTTGAATATACTAAAAACCATTGAATTGTGCACTTTCAAAGGATGAATTTTATGGTATATGAAGTATACTTCAAGCTATTAAAAGGGATATATTGATTATTTAATGTTAATGGACAATTCCAACGTATCCAGTTTCTTCTGTTACAATGCTGCAAGGAACATACTTGAACATTGATCTTTATGCCTTAACCTTCCTGCTATTTCTACAAGATATAGTTAAGGAAGAGGATTTATGGTAGTAGTCTTTATTGTGGTAGCCAGTGACCAATAATACAATGGTATTTATTTTGAGTGCTGAGGTTTCATGGTTGTAGCCAGCCAAGACAGCATTGACAGTCCCATATGGAAAAAGAGTTGGAAGGATAATCCTGGGTGCTCTTGAGGGGAGAAGGGAGCATGTGAGAGACTTGAGTAAGGAAGGGAGGGAAAAAGAAGCTGAGCAGGACAATGAAAGCTTCCTGTGGGGTTTTTGCTGTTCATATTTCCTTTCTGCCATTATAGAAAGCTCTTGATTTGAATTGGTTGGTTTCTGTTTTGCTTTTTCCCTGTTAGGTGAAGGCATTCTCATCTCCTCAGAGGCTTCAGAGCTTCTTGATTTTATAGACAACCAGGGCCAAGTGCACGTAATCCAGAAGTATCTTGAGCACCCTCTGCTGCTTGAGCCAGGTCATCGCAAGTTTGACATTCGGTAATGCATTCATGTCCGTAGCTTTGTTTTCATTCATCTGAAAAAACTGCCATGGTATATGGCAGGGAGGGGGACATGGAATATGGGGAAGTGTTTGACCATGTCTAATATGTTACCAAAATTGAGCACAGCTGAATGGAACTGAGCTTCTGTACCTAATTTTCTGTTTTTTTTCAATACTTTTTCTATAGAAAATGTTACTAAGATTATGGATTTTCTTCTTTAAAAAATACTCTCCTCTGGCCAGGTGCAGTGGCTCATGCCTGTAATCCCAGCACTTTGGGAGGCCCAGGCTGGTGGATTACCTGAGGTCAGGAGTTCGAGATCAGCCTGGCCAACATGGCAAAACCCCATCTCTAGTAAAAATACAAAAAATCAGCTGGCCATGGCAGCAGACGCCTATAATTCCAGCTACTCAGGAGGCTGAGGAAGGAGAATCACTTGAACCTGGGAGGGAAGGTTGCAGTGAACTGAGATTGCGCCACTGAACTCCAGCCTGGGCCACAGAGAAAGACTCCGCTCTCCCCGCCTCCCCCCGCAAAAATTCTCTTCTATGAAAATGACTTGTGGATCCAAACAAATGAGTATAAATGTATGCTTATGGAATAAGCTGAGAGATGTCCATGGAGCACATAATTCAGGCACAACAGGTTGTGCAACTTTGCCAAATAATTTCTCCTCACTTCATTATTTGTGTCCCACTCTTTATGGGTTTTATGACCATACCTCAGGGGATTTTAAATTTCTGAGCAAAGGGCTTGGTGTGGAGAAAGAGGTTGTGTGCTGCATTCTGAAGCTAAACAGCCCTCCCTCTCCAGCTTACCCTTGGCCTTGCTGTCAGCTCCTTGCCAAGGACTCAGTCTCCTTGATTGCTTCATGATGATTTGTCACTTCTTGAACATCAGCCCTATGTCAAATCATCTTCAGGAGGAACACTCTTAAGATTACTACAAAAGCAGACATGACAAATGGAGGTTTCATAGGTCAACCTTAAAAACCAGCCCATCTAGGGTGAGGTGTGGTGGCTCACACCTGTAATTCTAGCACTTTGGGAGGCCAAGGCAGGTGGATCACCTGATGTCAGGAGTTCAAGACCAGTCTGGCTAACTTGGCAAAACCCTGTCTCTACAAAAAAATATAAAAATCAGCCGAATGCAGTGGCATGCACCTGCAAGCCCAGCTACTCAGGAGGCTGAGGCAGGAGAATTGCTTGAACCCAGGAGGCGGAGGTTGCAGTGAGCCAAGATTGCATTATTGCACTCCAGCCTGGACAATAAGAGTGAAACTCTGTCTCAAAAAAAAAAAAAATCTGGATCTCTTCAAAATGCTTTGTCTTTTGATCAGTCTCCTTGTTATTTATGGTAAAATGTTTTGTCTTATTGTAGCGATAACTATCTTAGCTAAATCATAGTGTGCATCTTACAGTTTTAGAAACTTCCTCCTTCTCTAGTTGCCTTCCACTCCTCACCCACCCTTGAAAGAAGTCAAGATGTGGGGATTGATGTATATAATATGCAGAAACTTTGGATGACCTGAGTAAAGCAGTGTTTTTGATGAATTGCAGAAGCTGGGTCTTGGTGGATCATCAGTATAATATCTACCTCTATAGAGAGGGTGTGCTTCGGACTGCTTCAGAACCATATCATGTTGATAATTTCCAAGACAAAACCTGCCATTTGACCAATCACTGCATTCAAAAAGAGTACTCAAAGAACTATGGGAAGTATGAAGAAGGAAATGAAATGTTCTTCAAGGAGTTCAATCAGTACCTAACAAGTGCTTTGAACATTACCCTAGAAAGTACCATCTTACTACAAATCAAACATATAATAAGGTAACTTAATTGTATCTTTTTTTTTGAGGGGGGGTTATGTGTTTCTTCTTGAAGGAGCTTTGGGTGTCTATGACTTTCAGAGAATTGTTTCATATACATTGTCTACTTTATGGGCAAAATTTTTTTGTAATTTTTAAAAATTTTCCTTTTAATGTCTGTAGGTTCCGTAATGATGTCTTCTCTCTCATTTCTGATCATGATAATTTATATTTTCTATTTTGCTTGGACAGATTGACTACACTTACCAATTTTTCAGTCTTTTCAAAAATTAGCTTTTGGTTTTATTGGTTTTCTCTTTTTCTTTTTGGCTTCTTTGATTTGTGCACTTTATTATTTTCTTCCTTTTGGTTTTTGGAGGATATAATTTACTCTTAATTTTCTGGTTGTGGTTTTTGTTTGTTTGTTTTTTAAGAGATGGTGTCTCATTTTATTGCCCAGGTTGGAGTACAGTGGTGTGTTCATAGTTCACTGCTGCCTCAAAGTTTTAGGCTTAAGGGAATCTTCCTGTCTCAGCCTCCCAAGTAGCTGGGACCACAGGTGTGTACCACTGTGCCTGGCTAATTTTTTTATTTTTTGTAGAGTTGGATCCCACTGTCTTGCCCAGGCCAGTCTCGAGCTTCTGGGCTCGGGCCAGTCCTCCCACCTTGGTCTCCTAGAGTGCTGGGATTATAGGTGTGACTACAGGTGTGGGCCACCATGCCTAGCCTATTCCAGTTTTTAAGGTGGAAGGTTAAATAATTGATTTGAGATATTTCTTTTTTTTTTAAGAAAAAGCATGTCTCAGTTTCCCTCTAAATATTGCATCAGCTGAATCCCACAGGTTTTGCTATTAACATAGTTTTCATTTCCATTTTATTAAAATATTTTCTAATTTCCCTTATGATTTTATCTTTGATTCATGTGATTTAAAAATTTTTGTTCAATATCCAAATATTACATCAGGAAGATACTTTATTTTCATCTTTAAAAGTTTACAAGGTTTGTTCCATAGCCCAGAATGTGGTCTTTTGGTAATGTTCCATGTGCACTAAAAGAATGTGTATTTGGCTGTTGTTGGGCAGAGTGTTCTTTTTTACTTTTATTTTTTATTTTGAGGCAAGGTCTTAACTTTGTTTCCCAGGCTGGAATGCAGTGGCACAAACATGGTTTGCTGTAGCCTTAACCTCCTGGGCTCAAGTGATCCTCCTGCCTCAGCCCTCTAAGTAACTGGGACTACAGGTGTATGCCACCATACCCACCTAATTTTTGTACATTTTTTGTAGAGACAGGGTTTTGCCATGTTGCCCAAGCTGGTCTTGAATTCCTGGGCTCAAGCAGTTCTCCCATCTTGGCCTCCCAAAGCGCTGGGATTACAAACATGAGCCACTGCACCTGGCCGTGTTCTGCTTGTTTTATTTATTACTCTTGTTCTTAGCCAAAAGGCTGAGAATCGATGCTTGTTCTGTTTATTGTTGAAAGGAGAGTCATTGAAGTCTCCCTTGGGTAATTATGGATTTGTATATGTCTTCTTTCAGTTTTATCTGTTTTTGCTTCATGTCTTTTGATGATCTTTTGTTAGATGCATTTATATTTAGGATTGTTATCTCTTCTTTGGGAATTGACCCTTTTATCATTATGTAATTTGTCTTTATCTCTGGTAGTATTTCTTTTCTTTGTCTTTTTTTTTTGAGATGGTCTGGCTCTATTGCCCAGGCTGGAGTGCAGTAGCATGATCTTGGCAAACTGCAACCTCTGCCTCCCAGGCTCAAGCCATCCTCCCACCTCAGCCTCCTGAGCTACTGGGACTGCAGGCACAGGCTATCATGCCCAGCTAATTTTTGTATTTTTTTTTTAGAGACAGGGTTTCACCATATTGCTGGTCTTGAACTCCTGGGTTCAAGCAATCTACGCACCTCAGCCTCCCACTGGCCATGTCCAGCCAGTATTTCTTATTTATTTATCTAATTTTTATATAACCAATCTGGCTTTCTTTTGATTAATGTTTTCAATTTTTCTGTTGAGTGTTTGGCTCCCTGTCTTTTTTTTTTTTTTTCTTTTCTTTTTTTAGTGCTTGCTCTAGGTATTACAGTATACATATTAATTATTTCACAGCTTTCTTAAAGTTAGTAATTTACCAGTTAAAGTGCAAAAACTTTATAACACAGTTCACTAAATCTTCCCCTCTATGTTATAGTTACATGTATATATCTACACATTGACATCTTTACCACATAATGTTATTTTTGCTATCAAATATATATATATTTGCACAGGTATGATAGATTATCAGGTTGGATTCTTTTTAAACTATAAAACCCTATACTGGCTATAAGAAACCCAAACTCTATACTGGCTATAAGAAACCCACTTTATAAAAGGAGAAAAATATTCTTTTATATTTACCCAGCTACTACTTTTGTTCTTCCTTCAGTTCCAAAGTTCTGAGTTTCTCTCTGGTATCATTTCCCTTGAAACTTAAGCATTTCTTTTAGAGCTTTTATATTTACCCATATACTTCCTTAAATTTTAAAGTTCTGAGTTTCTCTGTTAAGCATTTCTTTTAAAACAGTTTTGCTGCTGATAAATCTTCTTAATTTTCTCTCATCTGAGAATATGTTTATTTCACTGTCTTCCTGAAGGGTATTTTCACTGGATTGATAGAAATCTATGGCATTGTGTATCATTTTCTCACTCCATGGTTGTACTCATTCTTTTCTTCTGATATCTTTGTTTGCTAATCCTTTCTTCATCTATGAAAACCTATTAGACATTTTTAAAAGGTAAAAGCTTTTAAGCTGCTGTTAAACTCACCTATTGAGTTCTTGAGTTTACTTAGTGTAGTTTTTAATTCTGAAACTTCCATTTGTTTCCTTTTTTCTTTTTTTTTTTTAACTTCTTGGAGTATATCTTTTTTTCATATTGTAGTTGTCTTATGAAATTCTCCCACTTGCCTCATATTTTCTTGAACATAACGGCAGTTCTTTAATGTCCATATCTGAGAACTCCAAAATCTGGATTACGAATGGCAGAGTAACTGCTAATTTAGAAATCTATTTCCAGAGCATATATCCTTAAAAAACAAAGACAAAATATATATATTTTTGAGACAGAGTCTCCCTCTATCACCCAGGCCGGAGTGCAGTGGCACCATCTCAGCTCACTGCAACCTCTGCCTCCCCAAGGTTTACTTAAGTGGCTGAGGCAGGAGAATTGCTTGAACCCAGGAGGTGGAGGTTGCAATGAACTGAGATCACATCAGTACACTCTAGCCTGGGCAACAGAGCAAGACTCCATTTCGGAAATCAGTCAATCAGGTGGCCGTTTATGTGAGGGTCTGTTCCTAGGATCTCCAGTCTGTCCCATTGTTCTACCATCCACCATGTCAATGCTATCCTGCCATAATGAGTGAGACTTTTTCCTTGCTATATTGTCACGTAGAGCCAAGCAGAATAACTACAGGGCTTGGAGTCCCATTTCTGCAGGAAGTATAGGTGGTTGGAATTCTGACACCAGATAAACCAAGTTTGCTGGAAAAAGAATTCCTATTTTAGGCAAAAGCTTCATTGGAAGTTTGCGGCACCCCCTCCACATTGTTCAGTGCTGTTCAGAGTGTTGCTGCTGTGGTGCTGCTATAAATGCTCCTGGCAGCTCTCAGGTTTTCTTTCTTTCCAGCTAGCCTTCCCCTAACTTCCCACTCCAGCCAAAAAAAAGATGTACTGTATAAAGTCTCTGATGATGGATAAAAATCCTTTAAAGTGAATTATTAATATTGCGCTTTCAGCAAGTAAAAAAAATTAAGTTTTGATTTGGTTCTGATTCTCAGTTTTTCCTTTATATGTTGGAATGTAATGCTTCTTTCAATTTTATTTTATTTTTGAGACAGAGTCTTGCTCTATCACCAAGACTGAAATGCAGTGACACGATCTCAGATCACTGCAACCTTCCCCTCCCAGGTTCGAGTGATTCTCTTGCCTCAGCCTCTTGACTAGCTGGGCCTACAGGCATGTGCCACTATGCCCCAGTAATTTTTTGTATTTTTAGTAGAGACGGGGTTTCACCATGTTGGCCAGGCTGGTTTTGAACTCCTGACCTCAAGTGATTTGCCCACCTCGGCCTCCCAAAGTGCTAGGATTACAGGCATGAGCTACCATACCCGGCCTCAATTTTATATATATATATTTTTTTCTCTTTTTTACCACAAGCATCTGTTAAACTTTTTAATCTTCCTTAATTATAATATTTTAAAGAATACTTTAATTAAAACAGGCTGGGTGTGGCAGCTCAAGCCTGTAATCCCAGCACTTGGGAGGCGGAGGCAGGTGGATCACTTGACCCCAGGAGTTCAAGACCAGCCTGGGCAATATGACGAAACTCTGTCTCTACAAGATACAAAAAAATTAGCCAGGTGTGGTGGTACATGCATGTAGTCCCAGCTATTCAGTAGGCCAAAACCAGAGGATTGCTTGAGCTTGAGGCGGTCAAAGCTGACTACAGTGAGCCATGATTGGGCCACTGCACTTCAGCCTGGGCAACAGAGTGACAGGGTCCTGCTTGTTTTTGGAGATAGGGTCTCGCTCTGTTCCCCAGGCTGGAATACAATGGTGTGATCTCTGCTCACTGCAACCTCCACTCCCAGGTTGAAGCGATTCTCCTGTTTCAGCCTCCTGAGTTTCTGGGATTACAGGCATGTGCCACCATGCCCAACTAATTTTTTTAAGTGGAGAGTCAGGGTTCCACCATGTTGTCCAGGCTGGTCTCAAACTCCTGACCTCAAGCGATCCACCTGCCTCAGCCTCCCAAATGTGCTGGGATTACAGGTGTGAGCCACCTCGCCTAGCCAAGAACATTTTAATTAAAGCAAAAGTTAAGGATATTCTTGTGTAGAACAGATTTTTTGTTTTTTGTTTTTTTGAGACAGAGTTTTGCTCTTGTTACCCAGGCTGGAGTGCAATGGCACCATCTCGGCTCACCGCAACCTTCGCCTCCTGGATTCAAGCAATTCTCCTGCCTCAGCCTCTTCAGTAGCTGGGACTACAGGCACGCGCCACCATGCCCAGCTAATGTTTGTATTTTTAGTAGAGATGGTGTTTCACCTTGTTGACCAGGATGGTCTCGATCTCTTGACCTCGTGATCCACCTGCCTTGGCCTCCCAATGTGCTGGGATTGTAGGCGTGAGCCACCGCACCTGGCTGATTTTTTTTTTTAATGTGATGTGTTCTTGTCAATTCAGGTTGAATATGAATGGGAGAAGAAATTTTTTTTTTTTTGAGATGGGGTCTCGCTATGCTGCCCAGGCTGGAGTCCAGTGGCTATTCACAGGTGCGATGCCACTACTGATCAGCATAGATTCACTAAGTTCGCAATGCCAATCTTAGTGCAGATACCCAATCGGCATAGTGCCCTACAGCACAGAACTCCTGAGCTCAAGCGATCCTCCCACCTCAGCCTCCCAAGTAGTTGGGACTACAGGCATGTGACCAGCGAGAGAAGAAATTTTTATTATAATTAGTTTTAAAATGGCTTATCTTAAAAGAACCATTTAAACCAAAATAGTTTTTAAAGGTTTAAATGTATCTATTAAAATGTTTTTCTTTTTAGGAAAAAAGAAAAGGAGATTGAAGGTTGTGAGGGGCTGAGGGAGGACTGACCTTGTCTCCAAGTCCACAAAGGCCTCAGTTCTTTATTAAAGTCAGGAGTCAAAACCTACATCTAGAGCTACATCTTAGCACCTTAGAATTAGTTACACGTATGCCAGTTCCCTGTATCTTTGTCTTTGTTTTTTTGTTTTTTGTTTTGAGACAAGAGTTTTGCTCTTGCCGAGGCTGGAGTGAAGTGGCCCAATCTCACCTCACTGCAGCTGCAACCTCCACCCCCTGTATTCAAGTGATTCTTCTGCCTCAGCCTCCAGATTATCTGGGATTATAGGTGCCCGCCACCACTCCTGGCTAATTTTTGTGTTTTTAGTAAAGACAGAGTTTCACCACGTTGGCCAGGCTGCTCTCTAACTCCTGACCTCAGGTTATCCGCCCGCCTTGGCCTCCCAAAGAACTATGATTATAGGCATGAGCTACTGTGCCCAGTCGGCCCCTGTATCTTTTTCCTTCCAAATATCCAGCTGTCTAGGACAGTTATCTCTGGTAACCCTGGAGTCATTGTAGCACATTTTATTTACTGAGATAAATGTTTTGTTCCAGGATTCAGTTGGGTGAAAAATCAGGGACGATCTTTATAAAACAGAAATGGCATAGGTTTTCTGGAATGGTTGTAGATGAGAGGTATTTATTATTTGTAAATAATAGATGTATGGTTATCATAATGAAATATACTTGTTCATAAGAGTAACATTTATTAAATGCTTTTTAGATTCCAGTAGTTACGACAAGTTCCTTATGTAATTATCTCATTGAACAATCACTTGTCTAAGATTTTGGGCTGACCTGAGACCTCATGTACTTGTTCATTATATTTCTGAGATTCACTATCAACTTTTTTCTGTCACTAAAATCCTGCCATTTTTCCATTTATTGGTGCTAATAATACTTCTACATTTCAACATTTAGTTTCAACATGTATAGTTCTTAAATTTTTTAATCAGCAATAATTTGGCATTAGAACTGGAACTAGTGAAATCATGAGGTCAGCTTTTTTTTTTTTTTTTTTTTTTTTTTTTGCAAATCCTGCCCTTCACCAAATGGCAGTCCATTCTTTACATGGCAGAGATACATGGAAATGTTTTATGTGTTATAAACAAACATGGCAGCAGCTCAGCTGTTGGAGGAATCTTCATTTATAGAGACCACGGTGACCAGGCACTTTGCTTCTTCAGACATAGGAAAGCAGCTTTTGCCTTGAAGAACGCGAGTGGCTGCAGTTTTCTAACAAATGCGTGTTAAGTAACATTCTCTTGAATAACCTATTGGTAATAAGCCGAAAAGAGAGAAGTCAAAGCTGGTATTTGTATTTATCTCATGTAAAATCTGTCAAGCTCACCTCATGTCTTCCTTTTTTGGCCACCCTGTTCTAATGAGCATTCCCCCCCCGACCTCACAGGAACTGCCTCCTGAGCGTGGAACCTGCCATTAGCACCAAGCACCTCCCTTACCAGAGCTTCCAGCTCTTCGGCTTTGACTTCATGGTGGATGCGGAGCTGAAGGTGTGGCTTATTGAGGTCAACGGTGCCCCTGCTTGTGCTCAGTAAGCCTGCATGTCATTGTGTTTTCACAAGTGGGAAGTTGATTCTGCTGTTGGAATAGTCTGTGGATGCAAGTGTAGATGCTTTGACTGCTGTAAGGGAGGCAGCCACAGTGATAGGAGACCCTTGTTGAGGACTCTGTCTGGCAGGGGGCTTTGCTAAGTCCATTTCCTTTCTCATTTTTCCATGTATTGTCAGCAGATAGGATAGTGCAATGGCCATGCCTATAATCCCAACACTTTGGAAGGTCAAGGCAGGTAGATTATCTGAGCCCAGGAGTTCAAGACCAGCCTAGTCAACAGGACAAAACCCCATCTCTACAAAAAAATACAAATTAGTTAGGCATGGTGGTATGTGCCTACAGTCCCAGCTGCTCAGGAGGCTGAGGTGGGAGGATCACTTGAGCCCGGGAGGTTGAGGCTGCAAGGAGCCATGGTCAGGCCACTGCACTGCAGCCTAGGCAACAGGGCGAGACCCTGTCTCGAAAGAAAACAGTAAGTAAGCAGATAGCCTGTGCTCAGGTGGATGGGAGATACCATGAGAGTGTTAAAGCTCATTACTGCCAGAGAGACCCATGTGACAAGCGGAGTCAGCAGGATCCTATGATGTGGCCACCCAGAAGTTCAGCAGCTCCTGAGGCAGGAAGGAGTCGGAGAAGGCATCTTAGATATGGTGGATCTGGAGCTGGGGTGCAAGAAGAGGGGTTGGCTGCACCAAAAGGCGGTAGCGAGAGTCTTCTGAAAGGGGTGCAGTGTCCTACAGGTCCTCGCCCTGTCCTGGGCTCTGTGCAGGTCTGGGAGATGCCCAGAGGAACAGAACCTCCTGAGAACCTGCCCTCCGGAACTTCTGCTCCTCTTGGGAGAAGCCTGGCTGTAGCATGAGTGTCACGGAGTCATGAAGGAAGACGGAAGTTAAGTGGGGACCTTCTGTGGAAGGCCTTACATGTCAGGGAAAGTCACTCAGACTCAATTTGCTTGTGCTGCGGGTTCTTCTGAAGATCCACGTTTATCACATCAAGACCCTTTTGTGGTTCCCATCTACATCTTGAAGAAATTGAGTGATTTTTCAAAATGTTTAAGACAGAGTCCTGTACCTGCAAGAGACAGCGTCAACACACAAGTTGTTCTTTGGTTAGAAGCTAGGCCTTTGCCATTGCCGGATGGTTGTGACGGGATGATTCATCTTGTTCATTGGTCACTGTAGCCGATAAGTGCTTATTAGGTGCTGCCTACCTGGCCAGGCTCTGTACAAGGCCATGAGTTCAGAGTGGGGAGCAAAGAGACACAGTCCCTACCCTTCATGGGGAGAGACTGGGCAGACAGAGACCAGGCAGATGTCAATTACAAACGAGGACAAGTGCTTTAATAGAGAACAAAAGATGTTGAGAGACAATGTAACTGAGCCAAGGGTGCATGATGGGAAGTGAGGTTGGACTGAGATCTGAAGGCGGAATGCAAGTTAGATGAGCTAAGGGCGGAAGAAGGCAGGGCCCTGCACCTTTTGTCACTGCATTGACAGTGCCCAGTCTCACCTGCTGTCCTTTCCATCAGGGATTTGGCCCTGCATGGTGCTCTAGAGCTTACCCTCCTCCCGCTCCTGTCCTCTCATCTGGCTCATTTACATTGCCACCTTTTTCCCTCTCTGCTGCATAGTTCCCATCAACATATGCATTCCCAGTGGATTTTCCCAATTATTCAAAAAGATGTCCTCCCCTGATGCCACATCCTGTTCTAATGATCACGCCTTCTCCAGTTCCCTTCACAGCCAAGCTCTGGAGAGTACCTTCTGCACAGCTGTCTTCTCTTCCTCTGTTTCCATCCATGCTCTGGTCCATTCCAGGCTGGCTTCCATCCTTATTGCCCCACAAAAACTGTTCTTTGCAGGTCCCCAGCCAAGTCCTTATTGCCACCTCCAGCAGTCTCTTTCTGTCCCCACCTCCTTGGACCCATCAGCAGCATTCGAGTCAGCTGACAGCCCTCACTGAGCTGCTCTCCTGTCGTGGGTGGGCACTTGGTGCTGGGCAGGCTTGCCTGGGGAGGTGTGGGCAAGCTGGGCTCCATCTTCCTCATCCAGTGCCTCCGGTCTTGGGCCTGTGTGTTCAGCTCCTCTTTCTCTATGTTATCTCATCGAACTTCATGGTTTTAAAATAACCAGATTACATCACAGCCCAGAGATGCATACTAGTATCTGCATCTGCCTTCCCTGCCAGAATGTCCTCCTACCTACCTCCCAGACTTTTTGATCTCAGTGGCTACCTGCTGTCCCCCTTAGATCCTAAGCTGGAACTTGACAGTGATCCTGCCTCTGCCTTCCCTTCCTCTCAGGTCCTGTCCATCAGGGCCCTGTGGGTTCTGCCTCCAGCCTCTGGAGTCCTCTGCCCTCCATTTGCACTGCCATCACCCTTGCACAGGTCATCTTCCACCATAACGAAGGCTTTGGCACAGAGCCTCCTAACTGGGGTCTACTTCTGCTCTTGCCCCAATGAAATCCATCCTCCCAGAGCAGCCAGTGTGTAAAGTGGACACCAGACCATGCCATTCTCCAGACTTCCCATTACACCAGGGACACAAACCAGACTCCTACCTCCACCTGCAAGGCCACTGCCTTACCCACCTCTCCAGCTTCACCCTAAGCCACCATTTCCCTTGATTGCTCTTATCTGCAGTGGACCTTTGTGATTTGTTACCTATGTGTGGAATCCCCACCACCATTACCACCACCACCAACAACAACAACCACCACCAGTCTTAACATGGTTGGCTTCTGCTTTACCAAAAGAACATCTTGAGGAAGCTTTCCGTGAACAGCTATCTCTGATTTTCTCTAGCCAGAGCCTTTGCAGTTTCCTTCATTAGACTAACTGCCATCAAACTAACTCATCAGAAGAAACTGTGTGTGTGTATTTCTACCCTGTCATCCATTATCTGTCTGCCTTCTATTCATCCCTGGGTCTTGGCTTAGCCGTCACTGAAGAGTCTTCCCCTGTCAATGGGGAGTCTTCTTCAGTGTCCCTTCAATTATGCTGAGTTGGTCCTTTTCCTGGGTAGGGCCCACCCCTCCATGTAATGCAGGATGGCTCTTACATGCTCTTGAAGTTGCCTGCCTTCCCTGCCAGTTGTCTGTCTTGTTCACCTGCAAGGCCTTTCATCAGTGTTTGCTGAGGGAATGCTTTATCTTCATGCAAAGCCTTCTGTAGCATTTGTATATAGAGGGGCAACCAGTTTTAGAAATGTGGTCATGAAAAAACAAAAACAGGAAAAACTGCCAGGCATGGTCCCAAGTGAATTGGCTTATGCCTATAATCCCAGCACTTTGGGAGGCTGAGATGAGAGGGTTGCTTGAGTTCAGGAGTTCAAGAGCAGCATGGGCAACATAGCATCGTGAACATAGCCATTTCCAGTGTCTTCCCACCCCCAGACGTGGAGCAGCTGCAGACCCAGCCAGCTGCCTTCATCAAGCTGTGATGCAGGGGCACTCCCAGCTGCCTTGGAAAAAGCACGGGGTCCTGCTACAGGGGACGGTGAAATGACTGGATTGCTTTTTATCCAGCCACAGCAGGGGAAAGAAAGGCAACTCGCAAAGATGGGATGGAAGAAGGCACGTGAGCAGAGGAGGCGACTCTCAAAGAGGGGGTTACTCAGGGGACTTCCTGGGTGGAGCTCTTGGCAATTCCGTTGAGACTTTTGAAAACTTAAGTAAATGTCTCTGAGAAGAGAACAAAATATTCTCCCCATCTCTACAAAAAGTTAAAAAATTAGCTGGGCATGGTAGTGCACACCTGTAGTGGCAGCTACTTCAGAGGCTTAGGTGGGAGGATCCCTTGAGCCAAGGAATTTGAGGCTTCAGTGAGCCATGATTGCATTACTGCACACCAACTTGGGAAACAGAGCAAAACCCCGTTTCAAAAACAAACGAAAAACAATGATTTCTTTTTTTGCTTGCACTTTGATGAATGTCCTCAATGATGATTTTTAAAACACCTTTCAGGAAGCTCTATGCAGAACTGTGCCAGGGCATCGTGGACATAGCCATTTCCAGTGTCTTCCCACCCCCAGACGTGGAGCAGCTGCAGACCCAGCCAGCTGCCTTCATCAAGCTGTGATGCAGGGACACTCCCAGCTGCCTTGGAAAAAGCACGGGGTCCTGCTACAGGGGACGGTGAAATGACTGGATTGCTCTTTATCCAGCCACAGCAGGGGAAAGAAAGGCAACTCGCTAAGATGGGACGGAAGAAGGCACGTGAGCAGAGGAGGCGACTCTCAAAGAGGGGGTTGCTCAGGGGACTTCCTGGGTGGAGCTCTAGGCAATGCCGTTGAGACTTTTGAAAACTTAAGTAAATGTCTCTGAGAAGAGAACAAAATATTCTTCTTGTGGGTGAAAGCAGGGATTTGTCTTTTTATGTTCTCATCCTTTAAAACAACTTTGTACACAAAGGCAGCCTTGTGAGCAGAGCCCCTTCCCCTCTCCCTGGGAACAGTAGGGCATTGGGACCTCTAGTCGGTGCCTCCCACCCACTGCAGCCCTAGTGCCTTAGCTCCATGCCTGGCTGCAGCCCCGCTGCTCTGGACCATGGATTGGACTTCAGAGCATTTTGGAAGTTGCCTGCGTGTTCCCAGCCCATCCCCTTCATAACACTCTGCCACACCAAGCTCTGGACAAGCATGCACCAATAGTACTTAGTTTTGTGCTGGGCGCTGGCCTCTCGGCAAAGGTGGTCGCTCATCACCTTCCTGATGGCGTTTGGTCAGTCACCTGTCAGGGTTTGTGCGTGCTGGTCCCCAAACAGCATATGCTGCTCTAAGTCTGCTCTCTGCATGTTTTAGAAACAAAGCGGCAAGTCTACCCTGAACCTGTAAGCATCAAATAAGCATGAGAGAGAAAAAACATGATATGCTGCTTTACTTGATAGGTTGAATTTGGTAGGTCTTTCATAATATGATGATTCCGTTTTTTCTTTGTTTTAACCAGAATTCTAAATGCAAGTTTGCCGAGTTCCCTTTTTTTTTTAACTTTTGTAAAAACCTCTCTGAGGATCAGGAGACAGTAAAATTCCACTCCCCAAGTGGCCCTGCCCCAGACACAGGTTGCTTTCCCTCTTTTTGTTCTTCTTGTGCCCCAGGCACTTTCTGCAGTAGCTAGAGGGGCAGGTTTCCTTCCAGGAAGGATTCTGAGTTCCTGTGCCTGTAGGCATCAGGAGTATATATCCTGCCTGAATGTCCTCTAGAATGGGAAAAAAAGTGATTTCAGCTCCACACAGGGTCTTGTGAGTCTCAACAAATGTTTACTGTTAGAAATGGCTTCCACTTACTTGATTGACTAATACTTTGTAGGCTTTTCAGGAGGCCACATCACTAGCAGTAGGAAGAACAAGATGTCATTTGTGTTCAGTGTGAGCTGAATAATCAGGCCTTTCCTAGAGTATCCTGGAAATCACAGCGACCCATTGAAAACCGCACTCCTCCCCAGAACGTGGCATGTCCTTTCTTTATGCCTGTGTGCAATGATGATAGACGTTATTTCATAGGTGCGGCACTAGTTGATAGGATGTTAGGGCATTACCTTGGGGTAAAGTGGAGAGGGTCCCAAGTGAATGGGCTCTCATGGGAATTGGGAATTACAGTATAAATGTCCTAAGGGTTACCCAGAATACAGATTTAAAAGTTTGCCTGTAGAGCAAAATATAAAACAGTCAGTTTTAATTATTAATCCTTGAGGCCTAATGCAGCTAATGGGTTGGTGTTTGGGAACTTCTGAGAAGGGAGTGAAGTCTCATCAGATCCTGGGAAGACGTATACCCAGTTAGAATGTGTAGGGTGCTGGGTTCCTGGCAAGTCTAGGGGGAGCTGGTGACAGGGAAAGCACAGACATTTTTGTAATACTGTCACATGCTAACACAGGTTTGTAATTATCTTTTGGACCCAAATTACAGTGACAGAGATAAGAATTCAGATGTTAGGAAGTCTGTGAATCTTGATGGATTTTCTAAGAAACCTGAATCAATGGCATATATATTAGGGAATTAAGACTTTAAGAAAAGAAAAAGTTATTCCTTATTCCTCATATGGCTTCCAATAAGTATCTTATATACTTATTTCTTTTTTTAAAATATTAAAAAACATTTTTTTAAATTACATTATTTTTTATAGAGACGTGATCTCACTATGTTGTCCAGGCCGGAGTACAGTGGCTATTTGCAGTTGCAATCATAGCACACTGCAGCCTCGAATTTCTGGGCTTGAGTGATTCTCCCATCTCAGCCTCCTGGGTAGCTGGGACTACGGGTGCATACCACCAAGCCTGGCTTTTTTTATTTCTGGTCATGTGGAATGGCTGGTTCTGAACTGTTCCATTCCCTTCCATGATGTCCTTGACACATTAGGTCATGCCTGGCTCCCAGTCAGGCTTCATATTTTTGGTCCATGTAAGCGCTACCCGTTGCTGGGGGAGGAGCTATTGTTTATTTGGCAATGTCAGTTGCAATCATGGTTCTGTCATTTGACTGCACAGTATCAGAGGAGCCTGTTAACCTCTCTGTGCCTTAGGTTCTTAGCCCATGAAAAAGATCATTGCCTGACCCAGGGACTACCTCAAGGGCTTTTGATGAAGACAAATGACAGTAGGAAGACGCAAAGCCTTTAATACCAAGGTTCTCAACACTGACTACATGCTGGAATGACTTGTGAAGTTTTTAAAAAATGTTGGTGCCCCCCCCAAAAAAAAAAAAGAAAGTTGGTGCCCACTTTTCCTCGCTCCTCCTGGTCAATTAAATCAGAACCTCAAACAGCAACATACTTTCAGATGCTTTGAGCCACTGCTTGAGAAGGAAGGACACACACATTATTACCTTGGAAGAATTGCATAAGGCCTATGACTTTAAAAAACATTCTTGGAAACACAAGCATTTCTTTAAGAATGACCAGATATTGCCATGTGTATTTATGGTGCAAGCAAATGTTGTCTAAGCAGTTTCTCTGTTTGCTTGTCATAGCAGCATTTGGAAACTCGAACATGCATTTATTTATGTAAATAGCTTATGAAGCTTTGACAACAAATGTAAACAGATGAAATTATAAATCTGCTAAGTATGTATTAAGGTTATTAATTATTGAAAGTCCCCTTGCCCCACACTCAACTCCTATGGCAATTATGAACTCCATTTTACCAAGAACATTTAAGTGCCTCAGCATCTCTATAATGTAGTGGAGCAGGTGCTGGCATAGGTACCAGCTGACATGTGTGTCACTAGCTCTGTGGGATGATTGCCACATACATGGAACACCTGGGAGTGCTGGAATTGTACTGGGACTGAAGCTACAAAGTGTTTTCATTCACAGTGGAGGCTGTGGCAAGCAGGAGGAGGTCCAGCCCTCTTGTGGGTGTGGTGAGAGGCTCTACTAGCAAAGACATGGGTGCCAGAGTGGGTTCCATGTAGCATGTGGGTGCTGTAGAGAAAATTCAATGATGTACATGACTGACCCTGGACACAAAATCTGTACTGGAGAGGAAATGACTGCTGAAGTAAGGCAATTGTATGAATATTTAAAATGCCTGAAACACTAAAGTAAAGTAATGATATTTCAAGTGTTTTTGTGCCCTTTGGTTCTTGTTGACTGTCCCTAGGATATCACTGGTCATTTAAATTCACCACATAATTAGCCGGGTGTGGTGGTGCATGCCTATTGTCCCAGCTACTCGGAGGCTGATGTGGGAGGATCGCTTGAGGCTCTAGTGTGAGGCTGCAGTGAGCCATGTTCACACCACTATACCCTAGCGTGGGTAATGGAGCGAGACCCTGTGTAAAAATAAATAAATAAATAAAAATCCATGATGCCATTACTCAGGGGTAAATAGACTTGCTGTAAAAGACCAGACAGTAAATCTGCTAGGCTTTGCAAGCCATATAGGGTCTCTGTTGTGTACTTTTTTCCTCCAACTCTTAAAAAATACAAAAACTCTTCTTAGCTCTTAGGCCATATAAAAGCAAGCCAAATGTGTCAGTAATTTGCTGACCCCAGGATGTTACCCGATACATAAATGAAGAGATTGTCCTTCAAAACTGAGGACCTGCTCAGTGAAGCACTGAGACAGTTTCAGCTGCCAGAGTCCCAGCCCATCGTTTCTCATGTGTCTTGCGTATTGTCTGCATCATGATACAATTTGTTAAGTGGGGCCTGTAGTTGTGAAGGAGAGTTGTACGTGTATCACACCTGGGGTGGAGCTGCAAAGGCTTCTGAAGTCAGGCTACTTCATACAGCCAGACAGCCAAGAAGTTCTTACAAAGCATTTCACTGAGGCCAGGTTTTTAAATATCTACAAACCTCACACACTTCAGGTGCTTAGTCTTGTGGATAGAGTTTCATTAATGCAAATTGTCATTAACCTGTAACTTCTTGTGCCATAAGGCTGAATGCTTTGGACATCTTTCCCTTGTATGGCTGGCCTGCCTTCTGTGGCTGCTTCTACTTCATAAATTTACCTCTGGCACAGAGGAGGTTTCCATGCCAGAAGGCCTGGTATAAGCACCTCACTCTGTACAGGTTTCACATACAGGATGACACATTCCCACTGGACCCAGCAGAGACTGCATGTGCAGGGTGCAGGGGGCAAGCAGACATGGACTTAGGCAGGCAGCTACTTAGGAGCCTGAGGGTGGACAGGTCCAAAGCCTTTGGAGGACTTCTCTTAAAGACTGGACCCACTTGCTGTCAGTAACTGTACCTTCTTAACTTTTAAGTTCTCCCATAGCCCAGAGGTGTAGTAATATTAAAAAGGTGTTTTCCCCAAAGCATCCCTCCATATCTTAGTTTATTTTGTATTGCCGTAACAGAATGCTACAGAGAAGTGTATTTGGCTCACAGTTCTAGAGGATGAGAAGTCTGATATTAAGGGGTCATATCTGGTGAGGGCCTTCTTGCTGCCTCATAGCATGGCAGAAGGCATCACATGGCAAGAGAGAAACGGAGTCTAACTCATCCTTTCACCAGCAGCCCACTCCTGTGACAACTCACTTCTGGGATAACATCATTAATTTATTAATGAGAGGAGCACTCTGATAAACTAATAATCACCTCTTACAAGTCCCACCTCTCAACAATATTGTAATAGAGATGAACTTTCCAACACATTTACTGTGGGGAACACATTCAAACCATAGCAATTCCTAAAGGCAAAGGAAAATGAACTGCTGTCCAATGCAGTACTTAGTAGCACAACTTAAAGACTGTTGCAAGCATAATTCCTTTTAAAACTCAGGAGAGGACATCAGTAGGAATAATAAAGTAAGAACCTCTGAAAACCCTTTCTTCCTTAAAGCAATGAGAACACTAGCAAAACTGTCTAGACATTAACCAGAGGCTTGCAGCCATCCATTTATTCAAGAAAAGGGTTGCATCTGGGTAAGAAGAGGTTTCTGACATTTTAATACAACCTATTCACACTCCCCCTTTCCCAAGCTCCACAACAGCCTTGGCCACACAATCATGGTGACATCCAGCAACCGAGCCACCACTGTAGGGCTCAGAAGGGGACTGGAGCTCCTCCAAAGCCTCATTACCAGGGAATTGCCATTTGACCTTTTTGGTAGTTCCAGGTAAGTGTCAACTCCTAGGTCTTGTCTTCATTTGATGTGACTAAGAGGTTACCCAGTGTGAACAACCTTTTCCCTGGGTGCATTTGTCAGAAAAAATCAACAGCAATTCTTTAACATCTCAACTTCCTAAGGTGGCTGGAAGTAACATTTGGAACAAACAAACTGACAAAAGACTTAGAAGGAAAAGCTGGGAATGAGATGTCAATAAGATGTTTCGAGAAGCTTCAACCTATTCCTAAGGATACAGAGGCCACGCCTGTGTATGGCTGTGCACATGCCCAAAGAGACCTGAGAATTGTCTAGCTCTCACATCTGTCTGACCTTAAGGGTCTGCGCAAGCAGAAAGAGAGGACAGAAGCGGAGGAAGGGTGGGGAGGAAGAAAAGTAGGAAGAAGTGAAAGAGAGAGAGGAGGAAGGAAAAAAAAGGCAAGCAGAAAGAGGGAAAGGGAGGGAAAGAGGGAGGGAGGAAGGAAGGAAAGGAAGGAGGGAGAGAGGGAAATTTATAAAAGGGAGGGAGGGTGGGAAGTTTATAAAATAGAACCAAGTAGAAATTTTGGAGTTGCAAAGTACAAAAATATGAATGAAAAATTTACTTGACAAGTTTAAAAAAGGTTTGAACTGGTAAAAGAAGGAATCAGTGAATTAGAATTTGAGATGATCCTGTCTGAGGAACAGAAAAAAAAAAAAACCAGCAAAGAAAAATGATCAGTACTTCAGAGACCTGTCAGACACCATCAAACATACCAATGTACATATAATATGAGTCGTAGAATGGAGAAGTGACAGAGAGGGAATGGGATAAAATATATTGGAAGAAACAGTGACCAAAACTTTTCCATTTTGATGAAAAACATTAAAGTAAATCCAAGAAGCTCAAAAAATTCTAAGTAGGAAAGACTCAGAGTCCACCTCAAGACACACCAGCCACTAAGAAAATAATTTTAAATATATAGTAAAAAAACAAGACAAATATTACACTTAAAAAATATCTATTTAAGAAAAGAGAAGGAAGCAATGAAAAAATGGAGAAAAAAGAGGCATAGGAAACAAACAGTAAAATGGTAGCTAAATCCTGCCTTATCAGTAATTTGATTAAATGCAGATGAATTCAGCACTCCAATCAGAGGGTAGAGATTGGCAAATTGATTTTTTTTAAATCATGATCCAACTATGTGCTAGCTACAAAAAAACACACTTCATTTTATTTTTATTATTTAGAGACAGAGTCTTGCTCGGTTGCCTAGTTTGGAGTGCCGTGGTGTAATGATAGCTCACTACAGCCTCAAACTTCTGGGTTCAAGTAATTTTCCCACCTCAGCCACCCAAGTAGCTGCAACTATGGGTGCTTACCACCATACTTGGCTAATTTAAAACAATTTTTTTTTAGAGATAGGGCCTGACTTATTTCAAAACTTGCCTGGCTATCATTTCACATAATGATCTCCAGTTCCATCCATGTTGTTGCAAGTGACAGGATCTTATTCTTTTTATGGTTGAACAGTACTCCATTGTGTATAAACACTATGTATTTTTTCAGCCATTCATCTGCTAATGGACACTTAGATTGCTTCCAAATCTTGGGTACTGTAAACAAGACTACAATCAACATAGGAGTGCAGATATCTCTTTAAAAAATTTTTTTAGAGATAGTGTTGTACTATGTTTCTCTGGCTGGTCTTGAACTCCTGGCCTCAGGCAATCCTCCTGTCTCAATCTCTCCTAAGTAGCTGGGATTACAGGCATCAGTCAATACATCTGGCAAAACACACTTTAGATTCAAAAACACAAATAGCTTGAAAGTAAAATGATGGGAAAAGATACATCATGCAAGCAGTAACTCAAAGAACTGGAGTGGCTATACTAATATTAGACAAAATAGGCTTTAAGAAAAAAATTGTTCCCACAGACAAAGAAGGACTTTTTTTTATATAGTTCCAACTTATATTTTAGATTCAGGAGGTACATGTGCAGGTTTGTTACATGGGTCCTGAGGCTGGGGTACCTATCCCATTGCCTAAGTAGTGAGCATAGTACCCAATAGTTAGCTTTCCAGTCCTTGCTCCCCTTCCTCCCTTCTCCCTCTTGTAGTCTTTCTCCCTCTTGTAGTCCTTAGTGTCTCTTGTTGCTAGCTTTGTGTCCATGTGTATCTAATGTTTGGCTCCCACTTATAAATGAGACCATGTGGTATTTGGTTTTCTGTTCTTGGGTTATTTCACTTAGGATAATGGCCTCCAGCTCCATCCATGTTACTGCAAAGGACATAGTTCCATTCTTTTTATGGCTGCACAGTATTCCACTGTGTGTGTGTGTGTGTGTGTGTGTGTGTGTGTATCACATTTTCTTTATCCAATCCACCGCTGATGGGCAGCTAGGTTGATTCCGTGCCTTTGCTATTGTGAATAGCACTGTGATAAACATATAGGTGCATGTGTCTTTCTGGTAGAAAGAATTGTTTTATTTTGGATATATACCCAGTAATGGGAGGCTGGGTCAAATGGTAGCTCTGTTTTTTTATTTTTGTTTTTTTGATGGAGTCTCGCTCTATCACCCAAGCTGGAGTGCAGTGGTGCTATCTGGTCTCACTGCAACCTCTGCCTCCTAGGTTTAAGTGATTCTCCTGCCTCAGCCTCCTGAGTAGCTGGGACTACAGGTGTATGCCACCATGCCCAGCTAATTTTTGTATTTTTAGTAGAGACAGGTTTCACCATGTTGGCTAGGCTGGTCTCGAACTCCTGACCTCAGGTGATCTACCCACCTCAGCTTCCCAAAGTGCTAGAATTACAGGTGTGAGCCACCATGCCTGGCTGCTCCATTTTAAATTCTTTGAGAAATCCCCAAACTTCTTTCCACAGTGGCTCAACCAATGTACATTCCTACCAGCAGTGTATTAAGCATTCTCTTTTTTCCCACAGCCTCTCCAGCATCTGTTGTTTTTTGACTTTTTAATAATAGCTATTCTGACTGGTGTGAGATGATATTTCGCTATGGTTTTGATTCGCATTTCTCTGATGATTAGTGATGATGAACATTTTTTCATGTTTCCTGGCCACTTGTATGTCAAGGACATTTTAGATCGATAAAGGGATCAATCCATTAGGAAAATATGACAATGATAAACGTATGCACCAAGCAATACAGCCTAAAGATACATGAAGTAAAAACTGAGAGAACTGAAGGAAGAAACAGGCAATTTAACTACAATAGTTGGAATCCTCAAAACTCCATTTCAGTAATAACTGGAGAAACTAGGCAGATCAACAACAAAATAGAAAAATACAATAAACCAACTAGACTTGACAAATATCTGCAAGGCACTCCACCCAACAGCAGCAAAATACACATCCTTCTCAAGTGCACATGGAACATTCTCTGGGGTAGATCATGTGCTAGGCTATAAAAACAAGTCTCAGTAAATTTAAAAGAATTGAAGTCGTACTATACATGTTTTCTATGTTGGAATAAAATCAGAAATCAATAACAAATTTTGTTAATTTCTGTATTAATGAAGAAATATACAAGTAAGAAGGTCAGACTAATAACAATTCCTTTTTTTTTTCCTTTTTTACCTACAAAGCATGAAAATCTTTTTTTTTTTTTTTTTTTTTCCTGAGACGGAGTCTCGCTCTGTCGCCCAGGCTGGAGTACAGTGGCACAATCTCAGCTCTGCCTCTGCAAACTCTGCCTCCCAGGTTCAAGTGGTTCTCCTGCCTCAGCCTCCCGAGTAGCTGGGACTAGAGGTGTGCACCACCACACCTGGCTAATTTTTTGTATTTTTAGTAGAGACGGGGTTTCACCGTGTTAGCCACAATGGTCTCAATCTCCTGACCTCGTGATCCTCTCATCTCAGCCTCCCAAAGTGTTGGGATTGCAGGTGTATTATTAGTCGTGCCTGGCCCGACTAATAATAATTCCTTTAAAACTTCCCACAGGGAAAAGCCCAGGACCAGATGGCAAGGAATTAACACCAATATTTCACAGACTTTCCTAAAAAATAGAAGAGAAGGAAATACTCCTCAGCTAACTTTATGACTTCACTCTTAATACTCTGATACTAAAACCAGACAAAGATGTCACAAGAAAAGTAAATAGCATACCAATAGTCTCTTAGGAATACAAATAGAAAAAATCTTCAACAAAATACTAGTCAACCAAATCCAGGAACATAGGAAAAGGATTATACATTATGACTTATCCTAAGATTACAATGTTTGGAATAACACATGTTCTTTTGTAAGTGGGAGCTAGGCTGGGGGTGATGGCTCACACCTGTAATCTCAGTACTTTAGGAGGCCAAGGTGGGCAGATCACATGAGGCCAAGAGTTTGAGTCCAGTCTGGGCAACGTGGTTAAATCTCATCTTTATTAAAAATACAAGAATTAGCTGGGCATGGTGGCGCATACCTGTAATCCCAGCTACTCTGATGGCTGAGGCACAAGAATCACTTGAACTTGAGAAAAGGAGGTTGCAGTGAGCCAAGTTCATACCACTACTCTCCAGCCTGGGTGGCAGAGCAAGACCCTGTCTCAAAAAAAAATTAAATTAAAAAGTGGAAGCTAAACATTGGGTACACATGGACATAAAGATGGAACAGCAGACACTGGGGACTACTAGAGCAGTGAGAGAAGCAGGGGAGCAAAGGTTTAAAACTACTTATTGGATACAAAACTACCTATTGGAACTTGGGTGACAGGTTCAACCGTGTCCCAGACCTCAGCATCACGCAATATACATTTGTAACAAACTTGCACAGGTACCCCTGATTCTAAAATAAACGTTGAGAAGGGGAAAAAAGAATGCAAAGCTTGTTTAACTTACAAAATTTACTTAATATACCACTTTAGTAGAAAAAAGGAGCAAAAAGCACATGATCATTTCAATATACACTGAAAAAGCATTTGGCAATAACACTCTTGGGAAGAAAACCTCTCAACAAACTAGAAATAAATTACTTTCTCAACTTGATAAAGAGCATCTTTGGAAAAACCCACAGCCTACATCATATTAATGGTGATGTGAATGCTCCAGTTGGGAGCTTTCTTCCAACATCAGGCACAAAACAAGTATATTTATTCTTGTCCCTTCAACATTGTACTAAATGTTGGACGCCCCCCTACCATAGCCTCTCCATCTGAGACCGCCCGACCCCTACCCCACCTCCTTCCCCGGGCCTCCCCCAGGACTCCAGTCCAGACGATGCGGGGAGGTTAGCGGGCCCGACCTTGGCCTTCCAGGGGTGAGCCTCGCGATTTAGGAGTTGGGTAAAGAGCCCGGGGCCCGGCATCCGATTTTTCATTGAAACGACTTTGTCCAGATGACTCCCCAGGGTCGGCATCAGCGTGGGACTTGGAACAGGTTAAGGGACCGGATAGATGGGAACCTGAGAAGACCGCTTACCTCCAATCCTAATTGACTGAGCCAATGAGAGCCAAAGAGGTCACACGCTCAACTGGGTGAGGAGTGGGTTTCGCCTTCTTTAGCAGAGGAGGGAGATGCGTGGAGCGGAAGATGGGAGAAGGGGCGGACCCGCCACGCTCTGGCTGGATACAGCTTTAACCGGCCCGTTCACTCGACGGTTTTGGTTCTACGTCGACCCCATAAAAACCGTAGGGCCTAGGGCGGGCGGAACAAGAGGGAACTACATTTCCCAGCAGGCTGCGGAAGCGGGACTCCGGCCACTACTTCCGGCGCGTACTGAGCGACGGGTGTTAGGTGTGCAAGTAGCCGCATGGATCCCTGCAGCCGGTGGCGAAACCTTCCCAGTGGGCCTAGCCTAAAGCACTTGACCGACCCGTCTTATGGAATCCCGCGGGAACAGCAAAAGGCAGCGTTGCAGGAGCTGACGCGGGCTCATGTGGAGTCCTTCAACTATGCTGTGCACGAGGGTCTCGGCCTCGCGGTGCAGGTGAGTGCGGCATCCACTGGCGCCCTTGCCGCGGAGAGACCAAGCTCGAGGCTGGCGGGCGAGAGGGGCCAGGCGGAGCTGGAGGAGGGAGGGGCGGGGGTGAGGTCTGGGCCTTGTGGGGCGCGGGCGGTGACAGGGTCCCAGAGAAATGGCTCAGAGGCCACAGTGTGACCCAAAATGCGTTTGCTCCTTGATCCTGACAGGCTCAGAGGGTAAGCGGGAGAGCACACGTGTTGAACAAGACGCAGAGCTGGGCCTCGTGGAACGTGTATTCGAGTCGTCTAAGAGATGTATTCGTGATTTCTGGATTGAAAAGTGATTGCGAACCATAGTTTCTTGTTGGATAGTTTCTGGGTTCTGTGAGAGTGAGGAAATGGCTTATTGGGGGTGTGCTTCCCAACCATTCACAATGCACATGCCTTTGTATCACTTGAAGACACCTCTCCAAAACGTACCTCAAAATATTCTGAACGTATTTGTAGGTACAGTGTAATGTACAAGGTTATCCTTCAGTTTCCTTTTCTTAGAGCTTTAAAGAGAGAAACTACTCATTTGTTCTGAATTAAGTAGGTGCTAAAGAAGGTATAAATGAGTCGTAAAGGCAAGATTGAATCGAAAAGTGTAATAGCATTACTAGCGTAGGGTAATGGTAGCAGAATTGAGGTGAGGATGGTGGGGGAAAGTTTCGTTTAGTAAGTATCCCCAGTGTCTCTAGGCACTAGGCTCTGAGGATGTGAAGGCCGCATTCCCGTGTAAGAGACAGTTCATACATTTAAGTGGTCCCTGTCGTGTTTTGGGGTTAAAGGAGTGAAGATAGGAAAGTAGTCCATGCCAATACGCGAGCACTGCTCTGTCAAGGGATTTTATGGGCTACTGTGGGAGCATATAGGCAGCGCAACTAGTCCAGGAGTTTGAGAAAAGGCAGGATTAGATGAGTTCAAGAGGTGAGAAACATGCATTCCGTCCAGGGGAAGAGTAGAGCAGAGTCACATGCTTAGGGGACCCTACCTGTGGTTTTGTTGTGTAAGATTTGTGTTGTGAGAGATACGGGTAGAGATAATGTGAAGAGCTTTGATTGCCAGTCTGATACTTGAACTCTATTCCGCAAATAATACGGGAGGCATTAAAATTTATTTTTTGGGAAGACAAGAGTGGTGGGGATATTTGTATGTATTGTGCCTGGATTCTTAGAGTATCATGTCTGTGAGAAAAAATACCTAATTAAAAGTTAATTAGACCAGGTACAGTGGCTCACACCTGTAATCCCAGGACTTTCGGAGGCCGAGGCAGAACGATGGCTTGAGCCAGGATTTCAAGACCAGCTTGGGTAACATAGTGAAACCTCGTCCTCTGTAAAAGTTAAAAGATAGCAGGGCATGGTGGTGGGCACATGTGGTCCCAGTTACTTAGGAGGCTGAGGTGGGAGGCTAACTTGAGCCCAGGAATTCAAGGCTGCAATGAGCTATGATTGTGCCACTGCACTCCAGCTGGGGTAACAGAGCGAGACCTTGTCTTTAAAAAAAAGATAATCAAATTGAGAAATTTTAGAAAAGCACTAATTCGGGCCGGGCGCAGTGGCTCACGCCTGTAATCCCAGCACTTTGGGAGGCCGAGGCAGGTTGATCACGAGGTCAAGAGATCGAGACCATCCTGGTCAAAATGGTGAAACCCCGTCTCTACTAAAGATACAAAAAATTAGCTGAGCATGGTGGCACATGCCTGTAATCCCAGCTACTCAGGAGGCTGAGGCAGGAGAATTGCCTGAACCCAGGAGGCGGAGGTTGCGGTGAGCCTAGATCGCGCCATTGCACTCCAGCCTGGGTAGCAAAAGTGAAACTCCATCTCAAAAATCAATCAATCAATCAATCAATAAACCAATTGATTGGGTGTGGTGGCTTTTGCCTGTAATCCCAGCACTTTGTGAGGCTGAGGCAGGCGGATCACTTGAGGTCAATCAAGAGTTCCAGACCAGCCTGGTCAACACAGTGAAACCCTGTCTCTACTAAAAATACAAAAATTAGCCGGGCATGGTGGCACATGTCTGTATTCCCAGCTACTTGGGAGGCCGAGGCACGAGAACCGCTTGAACCCTGGAAGTGGAGGTTGCAGTAAGCTAAGATTGCACCACTGCACTCCAGCCTGGGCGACAGAGCAAGGCTCTGTCTCAAAAATAAATAAATAAACAGAAATAAAAATAAACCAATTGTATGTTAACATTTTTATGAAAATCATTTTTCAGAGCAAAAAAGAAATTAGATGAATTGCATTATTAAAAATCTTTTTAATGTCTGGCTTAATGAAAAGACAGCTGGATTCTCATGTCTGCTTCTGCATTCAGCTCCTTGTGATACATTGTTTTGGTTGAAGTAGATGAAGAAAATTTGGCCCTGCACAGAAAATAATGTCACAACTTATCTAGGACTGTAATAATAACATATTTGAAAATGTTCTGTAAAACACAGTAAAGTAAATGACTACTATTTATAAAGCCAAGGGGAAAAAAAAGTTTTATCATATTTTTATGTACTTACAAAATGTAATTTTGCCTACTTTCTTTGGAGTGAATTCCTCTTGTGAGTCAGAATTTATGGGTCTGTCTTTTCAAAATATTTTCAAAATACAATTGATTTTTATTACTTGGGGAGTCTATCTTTGCAAATTTACCCACTCACTAAAATTTACTTGTACTGCAAAAGCACCGTGCCCAGAAGCAGTGAAAAAGTTGAGTTGTTCAGTATCCATTTTTCCAGCTGAGATCCAACAAGGTGATGCTCGGCCTTCTTGTTTTAAGTTTATAAACTATAAACAGGGGTCATCTTCACTATTATTTAGTGCCTTCTTTGTGCTTTTTGTTGGGGATTTTATTGTTTAAAATGGCCCCCAAGCAAAGTATTAAAGTTCTGTATAAAGTTCCTATCCCACAAGCTGTGCCTTTTGGGGATAATATTAATACATGCATTTAACATAGGCTTTTTTCAAGCCTGAGTTAGGGACTCAGTAATATATATTAAATAGGCTGCCTTTAAACAGAAACATACATAATGCGAGATTGTGTGTTGATTAGTTGATGAAATGTGACCAGAGGCTTACAGGAAGCTACCCATGTATTTACCCTAGGAGCAGTGGTTCAGTATTGGCTAATTCAGTGTTTATGGCAACTGTATAGAACATAACATTGTGAATGACAACAATTCACTGTATTTAGATCTAAATAGTGCAGCTGTGTCTTGAGAAAGCAAATCTTGTAATCTTTCTTTTTTTAAACTAATACTCCATTCTTTTTTTTTTTGAGACAAGATCTACTTTGTCACCCAGGCTGGAATGAAGTGGCATGATTATAGCTCACTGCAGCCTCGACCTTCCAAACTGAAGTGATCCTCCCACCTCAACTTCTCAAGTAGCTGGGACCACAGGCACACACCACTATGGCCAGCTAATTTTTTTATTTTTATTTCTTTGTAGAGACAAGGTCTCCCTATGTGGTCCAGGCTGGTCTCGAACTCCTGGGCTCAAGTAGTCCCCTGCCTCAGTTTCCCAAATATTGGGATTACAGGTGTGAGCCACTGCACCTGGCTTTTTTTTTTTTTAATAAAATATGAAATTCTAAAATAATACCAGCTTTAGATAAAATTTAAATATTTAGAAAAGGTCAGTTAACTCTCGTGAGGGTGGAGAACCTCATTGGTATTCTTTCTTGGCTCCATTCTTTTCATTCTCATTATTCTAAGACTAAGGCTAGGAGGTTGCCTGCAATGAATATGTAGGAGAGCTTGGTGACCCCTCTTCCTCAGAACAGCAAAGCTTCCTCCACAGAGTGGTGCAAAGAAGTAACTTCTGTGGAAGGGGAAACCCCCGCTGGCCACCATCTTTTCCTTTTCATGGCTCTGGCTCCAGTATGAAGTAACCATTGTACATTAAGCATCTAGTCTTAAGTCCTAAAGGTTGTTTCCATATCCTTGCTTTATTAGCAGCAGAGCTCATTTGTCTTGCTACACACATAGACAAGGTAAGAATACACAAGGCTCTTGGTTCGGAGAACAGGAGCTTTGTTCTGTTCATAGCTGTATCCTTAGAGCCTGCTACAGTCTCTGACACATAGTAGGTACTCAAATAAAATCTTGAGCTAATAATACATTGTGGCTTTATGCATTTAGTGAAGTTATAAGTAGAATGGAGGTAGCCTTAACTGTCTTTTAGGTGTGTCATGGTAGCATCACAGGTACCAGTGTTTGTAGAACATGTAAGATTTGGAAGAGTCTTAGAGAAAAAGTGCCTTGGAAATGCAAACAGTTTAATACTGTGAATTGCATTTCAGGCTATACCTCCCTTCGAATTTGCTTTCAAAGATCAACGTATCTCTTTCACTATTCTGGATGCTGTTATCAGTCCACCTACAGTTCCAAAAGGGACCATCTGCAAAGAGGCCAGTGTTTATCCAGCAGAATGCCGGGGCCGAAGGAGTACCTATCGTGGGAAGTTGACAGTGAGTACCCTCACAATGCACATATTTGGGACTAGGGCAGGTGCCTAATAAAGTTTATGCCAGAAATTGCTTTCATGATGCTGTTGTCTAAGAGATCCCACCTTCTAAATCTAAGGCATAAAATCATTTAATTGATCTTCCTCAT